TTTACCATTTACTGCACTTTTCTTCTAAATCAGAAGTCAAGTCATCTTTTATTTCTACAGTGCTTTGTACAATACTGTTCCAAAGCAGCTTCACGGTAATAAACAGGAAAATAACAGAAAATGAGTCAAATTAAATTTCTGCTGTAAAGACAATAGTGTCATAATTCACAGTGTCAATAAATCTCACAGATTTTCATAGATCGCTTCTTCAATGTTGCAAAATGGATGAACAGAATGACATTATTAAGGAGAATGTGTTCAAAATTTTGATTTTAATTTACATCTCATCCATCTGTATGATCAGGTAACTTTAACCTGGTGTACGGCATCATCCGCAAGCGCAACCTCTTCCACGCGCTGGCTAACCTGCCCACCGACGCCGGCTCAATCCAGAAAGCTCTGCGGAGGAAAAGCAGGAGCAACAGCACCCATAATGCCGTCTTCATGGAGACCAACAACCCCCACAGCGCCACCTGCAGTGAGAAGCCATATAAAACCACACCGGTTCAAACGGCCACACTGAACGCAAGCTTGAAGGCCATACCACGTACGAAACACACTCTCTCTATATGTATACACACACTTGCACCATGACATGAATCACCATGTTTTTGTCAACCTCGAATGACCGTTAACCCTCTGGGGTTGTTCGTTTCAGAGTCACACTCGGGGTGTTCGGGTCCAAATGGACCCAAAGGGCGGGATTCATATTTAAAAAAACAAAAATCATGATTTTTTTTTTTTACTCGTTTTTTATAATATTTTTTCTTTTTTGGTGTTTTGAGAATTTCAAAAATAAAAAAAAATTATAATTAGTATTAATGCAATAATTATGACAAAATTTCCCCCCATTGAACATAATAGAAAAAATATTTTTTTTTTTAATATTTTTTTTTTTTTTTTAAAGCTGTATTTCATTTTAGAGTCAAGCCTAGGCCTCATAAAAGCAATTTTTGAAATGAGATGGATGCCATCTGGTGGACAAACTGAGCATTTTAAAAATGCAAAACACATGTATATAATCTGAATTTTTTGGTGTGTTTGTGTATAAAAGTGTGTTTGTGTATGTGTGTGTGTGTCTGGATGTGTCTGTTTTGCACTCTTGATGTTTTATAGATTCACCCCTTCACTGTTGTGTGCTTTTTTTTCAAGATCGTTGCTGATTTGTAGATTGTACGCACAAAAAAACTCAGTATTTTCACATTTTTGCCAATTTCCCATTCATTTTCCATGTGGGTCCATTTGGACCCGAACACCCCAAGTGTGACTATTTTTTTTACAACCACTTAGACTACTCACATCCTGTCCCCAATTTTTTGGGGTCTTCAAATACCAAATATCAACAAAGTCACCAAATTTCGGACCATTCCAAAGAAGCTGTGATTTAAAAAAAATTTTTATTTAAATTCTTCGGGTCCATTTGGGCCGAACAACCCCAGAGGGTTAAACACATTTTACTGCGCTTCATTGTTTTCAAAAGTAAATCGACATACTATGAATGTATCGAATGTATTTGAGTTAGTCAATTTTCAAGTTTTGTTACTTGTATGACTAGCTGAAGATATCCTTACTGATGAGATGGCATAAAATTACAGTTGGTTCATTATGTTGCAGGCATCGACAAACTAACAGAAGCGTCGCAGGTTTCTGAGGACGGATCTACGCTGTTACCGCAGAACAGTGACTCGCCTCTCAGCCAATCAGAGCGCAGCTCGGAGACACCAGTCCGAGACGCTGAAGCCACTTCAGGTGAAGATGACAAGGTACTGCATCACTCCATGACCTGGCATTTAATGTGTTTATTTGTTCTGTTTATATCAATAAATATATTATTTTTTAATTAATTTAGAATTCGTTAAGTGAGGATGGTGATCTGAAGAGTCTGAAAAGCGTGTCGTCGTCTTTAGACTGGACTCCGGCTCCGGACTGGGTGAGTCATGAAGCCTCAGCTGTAGACCAGTGCTTGTGAGGACCTCGTGTACACTTCAGTATTTGTGAACATTTTCCTCTCCGAAACACTCACTCACATCCAGTGTGTTCCTGCTCTCTGTCAGGTCCTCTCCTGGAAGAGTAAACTTCCTCTGCAGACTATAATGAGACTCCTGCAGGTGCTGGTGCCTCAGGTGGAGAAAATCTGCATAGACAGGTGTGAGACACACACACACACACACACACACTCACTCACATACATACTGTCTCACACAGAATCACACACAAACACACACAGACACACCTACAATCAGACTCACACACACACACGCACACACTCTCTCTCACTCACACACACACATACATACACTCAGACTCACACTCTCTCTCTCTCTCTCTCTCTCTCTCTCTCTCTCTCCCTCTCACACATACACACACTCACTCACACAACCATACTTTCACTCACACACACACACACACACACACACACATACTCTCACACATACACACAGACTCGCTCACACACATACTCTGACACATACACATACACACACAGACTCGCACACACTCACACGCTCTCCCTCTCACACACACACACACACACACACACACTCGCATACTCGCACACACATACACCCAGACTCACACTCTCTCTCTCTCTCTCCCGCTCACACATACACACACTTACTCACACAACCATACTCTCACACACACACACACACACACACACGCACACGTACTCTCACACATACACACAGACTCGCTCACACATACACAGACTCACACACACTCCCTCTCACACACAAACACACACACACACACACACACAGACTTGCGCACACAAACACATACTCACACACACATACACTCAGACTCACACTCTCTCTCTCTCCCTCTCACACACACTCACACATACACACACTCACTCACTCACACACATACACACAGACTCACACACACACAATCAGACTCAGACACATGTGCGCACACACATACTCAAACACACATACACTCAGACTCACACACACTCTCTCTCTCCCTCTCACACACACTCTCACACATACACATACTCACTCAGTTACTCACACAAACACATACACACTCACACATGCACATATACTCACACTCAGGCACACACACACTCACACACACATATACATGTATATATATACACACACACACATCATGATCTCCAGCATGATGTTCCATAAATCATCATACATTTATTTAATAGATTTGATATAAATAGTGCAGAATCTGATATATTGCTTCCATTTACATCATGTATTTTGATGTTTCACAGTCCTATAGCTGGGGTTAAAGAACAGATGCTCTCAGATGTGATCTCATTATAGTGGCATTTAACCAGAACCCCATTGATTGGGGACGATGGCAGCAGAAGTGCTGAAATGCTGACTTGTCTCTGGGTTTTGGCCTTCAGCAACCGTCTTGACTGAGACTCTCGTTGTTCCCGCAGAGGTTTGACGGACGAGTCTGAGATCCTGCAGTTCCTCCAGCACGGGACTCTGGTGGGTTTGCTGCCGGTTCCTCATCCCATCCTCATCCGCAAGTACCAGGCCAACGAGGGCACGGCTCTGTGGTTCCGCACCTACATGTGGGGCATCATCTACTTACGGTGAGCTCTCCGTCTCCCTCTACAGGACACACACGGAATCAAAAAGCATGAATACAAACTCCATTTCATTTAATATAATCTACTATTATATATTTTTTTTGTGCTGTGCAATGATTAATCACATCCAAAATAAAAGTTTGTTTACATAATATATGTGTGTGTAGTGTGTATAATTATTGTGAATGTATAAATACACACATATGCATGTATACATGTAAGAATTATATTTATATATAATATATACATGCAAATATTTCTTAAATATATACATGCATGTGTGTGTATTTATATATACAAAATAATTATACACACTACACACACATATATATTATGTAAATACAAACTTTTATTTTGGATGCGATTAATCGTTGCATAGCCCTAACTTTTGAATAATAAAACATAATAAAAGTCTTTTTTTCTTGTTTTAGTAACGTGGATCCTCCTGTTTGGTACGACACTGATGTCAAGCTGTTTGAGATCCAGAGAATTTAATCAAATCAAGAGAATCGACTCAACTGAACCAAACTAAACACTCAGAACCAATAATTTAACTTCACATTATCTCTCCAGAATTGAATTCAATGCAGTCCATGATTTAGTTTATTGTGTTGTACAGTATATAGGAGTGAATGAACGGATGCTGCTGATTATTTTTGACACCGTTTCATTTTCCGCTGTGAGTCGATCCATGAGAGCGGACACACACACAACCCTCAGATCCCTGACCTCGTGAGCGTGTGAGAGGAGTGTGTGTTTATATTGGGGTTTTTTTTTGTTATTTTTACTGTAATAGTGATCTGTGTGTAAATGAACTCTGTATATAAACTGAAGCAAAAAAAATAATGCTGGGAAACCTGAATGCTGCATATGTAGAAATACTATAAAAGCTTTCTTTACAGCCATTTGGTCCTGTTTATTGTTTGCAAATCGAATATATGTCAGAAACCTGATCAAATTAGTATGGAACAGAATATTATATAATCTAATATGCATTTTTATATCTCTCTTAATGATACAGGATATTTAATGGGGGAAAAGATTAATGAGACTTTAAAAAGTGTCTCTTAGATCATTTCAGAGGCAGAGCGAGTTAAACTTAAAAGCTTACAGGGGAAAAGATTTTATAAAATGTCATATTTATTTAAATAATATAAAAGTGACAAAGTAGCTTTTGCACTGGGTGTGCAGGTTATTTACTCATGTTTGATTTCATCTAAAGATAATTGGCATTCGTGTCAAATCGTGCATCAATATGGATTATTCTCCCAATGGTTATTTAACCGAGTGTCACGTGTGTGATCTTCATGAATGTGTCACCGCAGGTGTGACTTCTCATCTCTCGGGTGTGCGCTTAGAGGAAGTGGGCGTGGCCTTTCCGGAGGTCTCCCATAGCAACCGCTCGAGCGTAAATGCAGTTGCTCGATTGGAGACGCCTGAAGCGCACGTGAAATCTCGTCAACACACACACACACACACGACAGATGACCGTCCGTGAGCCGGGGTAGAGGTTCATTCGCCGCCATGAACGATAAATACCACCGGGCGGCTCGAGACGGGCACCTGCACCTGCTGAGAGAAGCGACGCGCAAAGACCTGAACGCGCCGGATGAGGATGGGATGACGCCGACGCTCTGGGCCGCGCACCACGGCAACGTGGACGCGCTCAGACTGCTGGTGGCACGAGGGTCAGTGATGCGTCAATTATTTATGGAGAATATATATAACTATTCATGCATTTATTTCTTTTAAACATGATTTTCAATTTAAAGTTTTAATTTCGAGACACCAAATGACGAATAATAGAGATTTTGTTTTTGTAATATCGCTGATTGTCAAATTTCATCAGGCTGTTGTCATTGACAGGACTAAAAGTCCAGTTCTGAAACGATCAATAAAAAAATGCATCGTGCTAAAATACAATATAACAAGATTCATAGAAGTCTGAAAATCTTAGCATGTGAATATTTCTTTCCTTTACTCACTTTAATGCCTTAAACCCTCGTCAATGCAATATTTTTCAGAGAGGATGTGTTTTCTGTTATGTGCTGCTGATCAGTTTTGTTTTTTAGCATTTATTAAACAAAAAAAATCAGTAACGCTTTATTTTAAAGTGACGTAGTTGCACGTTACATGTACTTATAGTAATAACAGTGAATTATGCATAATTATAACTAACTCTAAACCAAACCCACAACCTTAACTCTATAGTAAGCTAATTAATTTTACTCAGCACTTATTTGAGTCTCTTTAAAATAAAGTGTAACCAAAACCTTAAATGATTATAGCATCAGTCCGTGCCCTTGATTCTACTTGAAGACGGTAGCCTAGTTTATACATTTTTAAAATAATTAATATGATATACAGCCCTCTCAGGTCTAGTTATGTTTTGGCTCATACGGTCTCATTAACAGGATGGCTGTTCTGTGTTCTCCTGTATCGGATCACATCTGCACTGAGATCATTTAGTCCTCTCACTGATGCATATCTGGATTGTTTTATTTGCATATTTACTGCTCTGGGCTAATTAAAATAAAGGTCACCAGGAGAATAAGGCATCTCTCTTGAATTATGCTTTTCTGTTGTTTTGTCTTACCATTTAAAAGCAGGCCTATATTATATAATAAATGATGAACTTACTGTAATTTGTCATGGACATCTGCAGGGTTCAGCAGGCTGATATTTTTAAAGGAATAGTTCACAAAATAATGCTGATTTTTACACATGGAACAGGCTGCACCAACACATCACGGGGGAAAGTGAATAAAAACGTTATTTTTAATTTTCCTTTAAGAGAAAGCTGTTGCATTGCATTGTTTCCTAAGTCATTAGGTAATTAGATCTGAATAACCTGGCTCTTATCTTAAGACGAGGTTAATAATGGAAGCTAAATGTTCTGCTCTGTGAACACCCTCACTGTTCTCTAATTAGTGTTCTCCGTCAGATCTGTTACTGAAACACGTTCATGTTCGAGTCATAGCTCAGCATTTAGAGTTCATGATTACCAAAGTGGAGAGAGAATCACTTTGTAAGTGTTTATTTGGATGTGATGAGTATAGGCACAGATGTTTTTGACTTTTCTGTGCTGATTTTGAGGTGATATTAATGGAGTAATGGTTTTTAGGTAATGTTCACTGTTTGCAACCCATTTTACTTCCATAATAAATCTGAATTTTCTAGATTTTATCCATCAGGAGTGGACTGGATTATATAAAAATAAGTGTGTATTATGATTAAACAGAGTCAGGTTGTTGGAGAGGAGATATTATCCAAAAAGGAAAGTCATTCCATTGCAAGTTTTAACATTTTGAGAAAAAAATATATTTGAATATTTGAATTCTGAATAATACGGAGGCGTATTGCATTCACTTGAAGAAAAAAATACTCTGTTTTTCTGAATTAACGAGTTAATTTTTCATGAGAAAAAAAGTTTTTGCTCTGTTTTTCTGAATTAACGAGTTAATTTTTCATGAGAAAAAAAATATTTTGCTGTTTTTCTGAATTAATGAGTTAATTTTTCATGAGAAAAAAATATTTTGCTCTGTTTTTCTGAATTAACGAGTTCATTTTTCATGGATTTTTTTTTTTTTTTTTGCTCTGTTTTTCTGAATTAACGAGTTAAATTTTCATGTTTTTTTTTTTTGCTCTGTTTTTCTGAATTAACTCGTTAATTCAGAAAAAAAGAGCAAAAAAAAAATTTCTCATGAAAAATTAACTCATTAATTCAGAAAAACTGAGCAATTTTTTTTTTTACAAGGAAAAATTAACTCGTTAATTCAGAAAAACAGAGTAGATTTTTTTTCTTCAAGTGAATGCAATACGCCTCCGTAGAGAATAAGGCCAAAATGCGTACTACTGAATTTTTATTTCATAATTATTTTGAACAGAGCTTTTCTTGAAAGCTGGAAACAGGCTTTTACTTTAAAGAAGTACAAGAGTATTTAATAAAAACAGACCAGCTGAGCATCAGGGCTCCAGCGTGTGTGTGCTACATCTCTAACGTGCAGGACGTTTCAATGCTTGAGATTTTAAGAGGAGTTCATTGCCTCGTGCACATTCACGGGGAGGACTTTTACACATGGCCAGACAGAGAGAAAGATGTTAATGTTCACAGTTAAAGGTCAACATAATGAATTAGGGCTATTTCTCTGCCACCTTCCTGTTTCTCTGGCTGTTGGCAGTTCTTGAACTTGAATGTCAGGACCATTATGAACCTCAGTCTTTCACGATTTTTGCTTTCTGCATTTCAATTCTGTGACCCCACATGGTCCCATAAAACCTTGCATAGTTTGTGCTGGTCTCTGCTAATGAGTGGAGCATTTGTCCTGCAGAAACTCTTGCAGGCATGAGAATTTGAACACTGAGTGATTATATGGACCTCAGTGAGGGCAGACAGCATTAAATCTGTATTGACTAATGTTGGACTTCAATTGGTTCACTTTTAAAAAAACTTTTACTGATAATTTACTCACCCCCATGTCATCCAAGATATCCATGTCATTCTTTCTATAGTCGAAGAGAAATGAAGGTTTTTGATGAAAACATTCCAGGATTTTTTTCCATATAATGGACTTCACTGGGAACCAAACGGTTCAAGGTCCAAAAGACACTTTCAGTGCAACGAACGAATTGACTCAGAAAAAGATTCGTTCATTTTGATGAATAAGTTCGAAAAGGAGAGTCACACAGAACACTCATCACAGAACAGAGCAAGGTCGAGCATTTGAGCTTATACAACTTAAACTTTGTTATTTATTTATAAAATGAGCGATCGTTTCGCTTGATAAGACCCTTATTCATCGTCTGGAATCGTTTAAAGCCCTTTGAACAAGTTTGCAGTTTGCACTGAAAGTGTCTTTTGGACCTTGAAACGTTTGGACCCCATTGAAGTCCATTATATGGAGAAAATCCTGGAATGTTTTCATCAAAAACCTTAATTTCTTGTCGACTGAAGAAAGAAAGACATGGACATCTTGGATGACATAGGGGTGAGGAAATTATCAGCAAAAGTTTTTCTAAAAGTGAACTCTTTCTCTGCATTACATGGTGCACAGCCTTTAATGACTTCGAGAGGTGAGTCACAAAGGCAGTTTGCATAATGTGTGTGTGTGTGTACATGTGTGTTACAGGGGGTAAGTGGAGCTCCAAAGCATCATGTTACTTATTTAGATTAACACCTTGCCACATAACAGCACATGAATGCTTGTGCACACACATGTGCACACACACATGTATTCACACTCTCTATATTTACACTAGTAATTGGCCAATTAATCAGCCAGAATTTGATCATTTTGAGATTATCATTATCACCATTGGCCAGGAACATTATTTCAGTCATTTTATTATTGACTGTCACCATTGGCCAGGAACTTTATTAAATTGTGTTATTAAGCGCCGCGGCTCTGTGGAATACTTGATTCTGATTGGTCAATCGTGCCATCCAGCAGTGTGTTATCCCCCGAGAACATCGGTAAAAACTGATAACATAAACTCATCCGGGTAACTGAAGTTGGCACTTTATGCTTGCTATGCTTGATTTAAAGGCCCTTGCGAAATTAGTCCAAAATTTTCGTATGCATTTTCGTATTTGTGATTCGGTGGCTCTGAATTGTCAAACACCATTCAAACTGCTTGCTACGGATGTGGAAAATGCAGGAAATCGAACCTGAATCAATTTTCTTTATGACGAAAGTTTCGGAGGCAGTGTGCAATACCAATGTGGACATAACGTGAGGTCGCATTTATTTTTTAACGTGCGAAAATTTTGGACGCGAATTTCGGACTCGGTGTGCAAGGGCCTTAAGACAGGTACGATTTTAAAACAAATCAATATCTCTTATAAAATTTAAAATTTTGAATGTGACTCAGATCAATATTTAACTTGGAATATTTTAAAGCAACACCATGGAACTTTTCGTCTTTGGTCGCCCTACTGGTTGGAAACTAAATTGTCCATTACCGCCGTCATAAATAATTTAGCCTACCGTCGCACGCACACATGCTGTTTAACCAGCAACGGCTTTAGAATAAACAATGTCCTCAGACAAGGTAGAGTGTGTTACAGGATTTCATGACGAAAAACGAAATAATGACTATTGTAACGCTTGACGTAAAGCAGTCAAATTTTGTAGTTCTTTTTGTGCTCGGGTTACTACCCGAACCCCGAAGTTGCATAGTGCAAGTAAAAGCGATACAGACACGTCAGCCTATGGCAGAAGTACCTTTTACCCTGTTACGACTTGATGAACCAGTGATGAGATTTTGGAGACATTATTTTAAGGTAAAAAATGTTACATAGTGTTGCTTTAGGCCCCGTTTACACGAAGGGAAAATCCAGATATTTCCCTGTGGCTTGGCCTCTCATTTACACAAAACCCTCGTTTTCACAGAAAACGATTATTTCTAAAAACTCCGGCCAAAGTGGAGATTTCTCAAAACGCCGGTTACGTGCTGTCATGTCAAATGGGAGAAACAGGGTTTTAGGTTCTCTCTTGTCAATTATGACAACATGACATCATGACTTTTGCGTAAACATAAACGCCACTTTCGAGTCAAGTGGCGTGTTATCTCTACACATTTTGAGCTATCCGCGTGTATCCACGTGTATGCGTGCATGTCTACGCCATTAACGTCGAGTGATTCCGCGTGTCTGTACACGCCGTCAAATGTCTGCGCGAAATGAAGCAAAATGTACATCTACATCTGGGGAATATCCTAGGATGGTAGGGGAACACTCATAAATGCCATTAACCCCAGTGATGGGTAGGTTTAGGGACGGGGTTGAGGTAAGTCATATATTTATATATACAGTAATAACGTTAAGTCAACGGCGTTCATAAACACGCTGAAAAGCGATTATGCGTCTTGATAGCGCGCCAAAAATCTAAATACGAATTGGCGTGTCATACACACGCTACTTCATGAGATCAGTCTGATTATGAGGCTTCTGATTGGCTTGCATGGCTTTACCCTTCTCCCTACATTGCCGGCCGCCCATAGGTTTGGCATAGTTATGATGGCGCTCGACGGCGTTTATAAATACCTGACTTTGTGTAAACGTGGCCTTAATAAGTGGGATAATATACATCCAGCTGGTTGTTATCACACTTGATATCATCTTTAATCTACGATGTGCATTATCCCTTACTTAAATATTGACCCTGCTCCTGCCGCCCTGCTCTTTAGACATCGGTATCGGTCACTGACAAAACCACATCCATCGACCACTAATTCTGGCCATGGAAACTATGTTAGAAACAGCAGAATAGAATTAAACATAACCAATCCACTATTGCTTTTGTTATTTGGTCCACAGTGGAGATCCAGACAAATGTGATATTTGGGGAAACACTCCCCTTCACCTGGCGGCAGCTAACGGCCATCTGAACTGTCTGTCCTTTCTGGTGTCATTCGGTACCAACGTGTGGTGTTTGGACAATGACTACCACACGCCACTGGACATGGCAGCTTCTAGGGGCCACATGGAGTGTGTTCGATATCTGGACTCTATCGCCGCCAAACAGATCACCATCAACCCCAAGCTGGTGAGCAAATTGAAGGACCGTGGCTTCCGTAATGCAGAGAAACGCATTTTGAACTGTGAAAAGCTTCAGCGCAAACATCACAAACGCATGGAGAAGCATTTCTTGAGAGAGAGCGCTGCGATGGACACGTCGGATACGATGAGTTACAGCAGTTTCAGCAGCACCTTGAGCCGAAGGATCCCCCAGTTCAACACCCTCGACTCCAACATGACGTACTCGCAGGTACTGTGTCTGAACACAAGGGTATAAGGGGCATCGAGCCAGTATCACAAACATAAATCCTTTGCTTAATGGAGTCAACCATTCGGTCAGTATGGAGAAGCAAGTTATACATTTTCTTCCAAAACCTAGTGAGCTGGCATTTTAAAACCAAGCTCGTTCCTGGAGGGCCACTGTCCCTGCAGAGTTTAGCTCCAACCCTGATCAAGCACACCAACCTGTGAGTTTCTACTGATCCTGAAGACCTTGATTAGCTTGCTCAGGTGTGTTTGGAGCTAAACTCTGCAGGGACAGTGGGCCTCCAGGACCGAGTTTGGGGAACCCTGGTCTACAGGGTGAAAATGACCTTGAGAAACTTCTCTCCTCTACAGGCAACGCTTCAGTCCACAACTAGAGGCCGGACCAAGATTCTGCGGCGTCTTGAGAAGAAGAAGCAAGGGGATGGGACGTTCAAGATTTCCGAAGACGGTCGAAGGAGTGTTCGCTCGATCTCTGGTCTTCAGCTGGGCAATGACGTCATGTTCATGAAGCAGGGTACATACGTCAGCCCACGCCAGCAGTCCAATCCTCGCCTCAACATCCGTAACATGTTTTCTGGTGAAAAGGACATACGGGAAGATGAAGATGACGATGAGGTAGACACTGTTTCCCACGCACTCAGCGATCCGGGTCTATATGATGCTGCATACTCCGAAATAAGTACGGATTCCGGTCGGGATTCTTTGTTCAACCGCCCAGGACTCGGTACGATGGTATTTCGTCGCAATTACGTGTCTGATGGGCTGTTTCGAATGGGACGAGATGAGGGTAGCGTGGTGGGGAGTGAACCAGTGGGACGAGTCCCGAACGTCCGCTTACGAGGGAGATTGCCCCTACGGTCACCCAGTCTCGATGACGTCAGCATAGGCAGCTCGTTGAGCCTCCAAGAGAGGAATTTACAGGTACGAACAAAAATTTGTTGATACTATATGGATGCCACTTGTTCTACCACCTGAGATAGAGTCTTGTACTTGCACTACATCAGGGATGGGCAGCTCTGGTCTTTGAGGTCCACTATCTTTATCCAAATCTAAAGCCTTGTTTATACTCGAGCGCGAGGCTCCGCTGAATGCGCGCGCACCTCTCCAAACGGACGAGGCGTTTATACTTGACGCGCTCGCCGTTGTGCTATTCTGTGAAACGACAGAGTAATTCTCCTCTAAACCACCAGGAATCAGCAGTGAAGTAGTAGTTTGCCGTTTATTGCCGTTTGCGGTATTAATTGCTGATTCATAAAAGAGTAAATGCAGTAGGTTTATTGTAGGCTACTTTCACTGCATGTAAACTAGTTAAACAACTGAAGCCTTATTGGGGATTATCACGCTGATGCGTAGTACTTCCGGATTCTGTGATCTTTGTGCACTGCCACTTCCGTTGAATCACCGATCTCGCTGGCAAACTGATGAAGGACTGCACTAAGTTTATTTATACAGCATCCCTGGTAAATTAGTCTGATTCACTAAAGTGCCGGCTGCAAACAAACGTGCTACCTTGTTTTATTTTAAAGTTTTAATCCACTTCTTCCTTATACTCAATTCAGTCGGGAATCCATGAAAACTTAAGTAGGGTTGGCGTTGTTGGTTAGATTTACAAAGTGGAACAGAGCAGTGACATAAATGGGCTCTATGCACGGCGGTATTTCCGGTGAAGCATTAGGGATGCTCGATAACTTCCGCCGATCATAGAGTCCAATGCAATACCGAGAATTTATATTGAATTTTATACTCCATGGTTATACTAATGAAACGTTAGTCACAAAAACAGATAAAACAGACACCCCTCGTTGTGTTTATGCTTCTTTTTAAAATCATATTAAATAAACATAACTATATATAAAATTACATCTAAACGTATGTACGTTTCGTTTCAAAGACGGGAGGACAGTAAATATTGAAGACTCTGCCATAATCCCGTTTTCTCCGGTTTTCCTCCGCTTTAATCTACACAACCGGAAATGGACGAGCATCCTTACGTCAAATGCGGAACTTATGCGTGCATATAGCCCATAGCATTCGTCTCAGGCATTGTTGAACTGCGTCGGAAGTGGACATGCACAAAGTTGACAAATCCCCCCCATGAAACCCGGAAGCGTGATAATCCCCTATTGGAGAGTGTTTAAACCTTAATTTATTAATTCTTAATCCGCTATTGTTGGTTTATTTTGTAGATGTAACCAATTACTTTAGACAAGTCCAAACTAGGTGCTTAATGCAAATGTGTTCCTGTTCACAAAATGAGATTTTATGGTCGCCCATCAATGCAAATGACTCTGTGTATAGAAGGATCATAAACATGCTGGTACAGATCCTCCCAGTTCGGCCAGATTCGGCTCGAAGTCGTTCATCTTCGGATGCGGCGCCGCGCGCAATGTTATAAAAAGTGCCGTGCACACCGCCAGGCGATACGGGTTTTGCGCACCCAACGCGCACGACCGCCCGCACCGCAATGACGCCATTTTTGCCGCGCCCTTCGCACTCTTGCGGACGCGTCGAGTATAAACAAGGCTTAACCGAGAGATTGTGTTTGATTTGGGATATAGCTAAACTCTGCAGGACAGTGGCTCTCCAGAACCAGATCTCCAAAAACCATGCTCATATGTGCTTGCTGAACATTTAATTTCACCGCCAAGGGCATTAATAGAGAGTTGGTTACTCTTATAGAAAGCTTTTACGTTAAATGTTAGAACATGACTGCAGGGATTTACTCCCGATCAGACGCAGTCCGGCACTGGACGTTTTGCAACATAACTGTTCAAAAGGGGTTCTGGGCAGGGGTCAGGGATATGTGAAGGCCATTCAAATTCTTCCATACTATAACATAATTAGTTTATTGACCTTTATGCATCCTGCTACAGACAAAGGCCCTATTTTAGTATACTTGCTGATGGGGTTGCATGCTTGCCTGCTTGACTATAACGCTTTTCTAACTCATTCTCATGCTAGGGCGTCATATAGTGACGCTTTTGACATTTCGTCTACATCCAACGCACATGGTACCCTTTAGCGTCAACATGAGAGGCAGATATATATATATATATATATGGACCAGAAAGCGCCTCCTAGTGGTCTAACCCTAAATCCAGCGCACATGGCACCCTTTACATTTACATTTATTCCTTTAGCTGACGCTTTTATTCAAAAGTGACTTACAATTGCTATATATGTCAGAGGTTGCATGCCTCTGGAGCAACTAGGGGTTAAGTGTCTTACTCGAATCACAGTGGATTCGAACCCGGGTATCTCACACCAAAGGCATGTGTCTTATCCACTGCACCACACCACCTCTTTAGCATCAATATAACACGCACAGAGCTTTGTTTGGTTATGGGTAGGTTTAGGTCTGGGGTAGTGTTAGGGTTAGACCACTAGGAGACGCCTTCTTGCCCATATATATCTGTATCTCATATCGACGCTAAAGGGTGCCATGTGCGTTGGATGTAGACGAAATATCAAAAGCATCACTATATGACGCTTTGGGATGAGACCGGTCTGGCTTTTCTTAGTAAGTTAAATATGCAAACCAGGGGTGCGTTTCCCGAAAGCATCGTTAGCCAACTATGGTCGCAAGTTCCGTCGTTACCAATAGAGTTCAATGGAAATTGCGACCAACTTACGACCATAGTTGGCTAACGATGTTTTCGGGAAACGCACCCCTGTTAAGTAAAAGTGGGTGTCCAGAGACTTTGCTAGTTCTGACGTTGGCGGTGTCCTATAGGATTTGCCATGGGAGGAAGGAGACCTCGGTTTGGAGGAGGAGGATGACGAGCTACAGCCATCATCGGCTCCTTTGGAAGTGTTCCTGGCATCTCAGGGACTGAGTGACTTCTTGTCCATCTTCAATCGAGAGCAGATGGACCTGGAGGCGTTGCTGTTGTGCTCTGAGCAGGACCTCGTTAGCATCCACATCCCGCTCGGACCCCGCAAAAAACTATTGGATGCGTGCAAGAGACGCAACAACGTTATCGACAGAGCTGACGGCATGCAAGACACTATGCTGTAAAAGAGTGTGTATGTCTGTTCCAAAACCTAGCGTACACCCTTGCTCACTGCATAGGCTACATGATACCCAAAGGAAAGGTAAATCAATTTTAATTAGTATTTTTATCAGTACTACTTAATAAGCAGCATTTCTCTCAACTTGTCCACCATTTCGGATGTATTATTTCTCTGAGCTCGTTGCATTCTAGGATTTCTTTCTCTGCAAATGATACACTCGATGCTGTCTGAGAATCTGGCCAAAGCAATGCATTTCAAGATATATTCAAGATAATTACCTGCCTGTGCCTACTTTTTTGAACCACTTCTCGCCAGGAGCTAGTATGATCTCAATTGACCCTGTTCATGGTGTCTTAAGGTGAATGGACATCATTTCATGGGCATCTTATGGTCATATTATTCCAAATAAAACAATGTGTTTGGCTTAGTATTTCTAAGCAACATACATTAACTTTCTCTTCCTCTGAAATTACTTTGTTTTTCTGCTAGCGTCTGTGCAGGCTGTTGAATAATATTAATATAGCCACACCCTACTTGTGCACTTCTGTTAAACAATGCTTTGTCTAAAACCTGTTCAGTCAATACCAGAATGATAAAATCAATTTCCATCCTTCTCTTCCAATCACAAATCCTGTTTTATTTTGAAATGCGTGATATTGCGGAAGTAAAATGGGTTGCACAATGCATTTCACATATTTAAAATGCTTCTAATACCTGCATTTGGAACTGAGCCATTGTGCGTGAGCACATGTGTGTGTGTATGAGTGAGTGAAACAACTGCCTCCCAGTGGCTGGGAGAAAAACTACAGGTCTTCCATATGGTCACACATCACTTTCTATCTCTATTCCTGCTCACAATGAGGTTATACTTGGAGAATGAGGTGGTCATGTGGTTACCCTTTTCGTTTTGTGGTATAATTTGCATAAACTCTTACCAGCTTGAGGTTTATCCAAGACACTCTGTGAATTGGCATGCATATGGTTACTGTATTTTAAGACTAATTCAACTCAATTCAGACCTTGCCTAAATATGACAATGTTAGCACAGATTTGCAAGTGATGGAGCAACAAATCTACATATCTGGTCTTTAGTTTCCCACATTTTCCCCAGATTGCGTTAAATTGCTTTTTATTTAATTTAATGCATTTAATGGAAAATATAGTAAATATACTTTTAGATCAAAAAGTCTTTAAGATCCAGGTCAGATGTGTCCAAACTTGACTTGTATATGCAAACATTATATCATTTGAACTGATTTCATATGCATTCAATGTTTGTTTGTTTTTTTTTTATATTTGGGATTGTTTAGTTGTGCATACATACTGTATATGAAGAGTTCAGATGCAAAAGCCTCTAAATGCCATTTGAAATTTTCTTCTTTGATGATGATTTTTATGAAACCTGTATATTTAAGTTCAGTAATTTCACTTAAATAACAATTAATAGGTAATTATCATCGTCATTTAAGTGAAATGACTGAACTTAAATATACAAGTTTGATAAAAATCATCATTAAAGAAGAAAATTTCAAATGGCATTTAGAGGCTTTTGCATCTGAACTCTTCATATGGAGATTTGGACAGCATCGATGTCCAGCCAAAACACATTGCAGTTTGACTCATGGGAAATGTTCTGTATGTTGGCAATCTACAGCTTTCTGCGGATGCTTTCTACTGACTCCAGCTGAGAGATTGAGGAGTTTGGGTGTGTGTGAAATCTCTTGTTTGTACAGTTTCATAGATGTACTGTTTCGGTTCCGTGTTTGCTATTGATCGAGCGCAGTCAAAGCTTCTGGCTCAGCGGGTGACATGTTTGTTCTGGATACTGTGTTCCTCTGCTATCTGCTCATTTATGGGTGTGTGTGCAGCAGGGTTGAGAGACTGACATGCTGAAAGCTGATATAACTCTTGTTACTTTATCTGTCTCCATCTGTACATACACACCTATAGCTATACACTGCTGTCCTGACTCACATTTATGGTAGTGTGTCCAATGCTTGTCTGAATGCAAATGTAATGCTTTATTTGTTCCTGTGTGTTTTTCTCGCTTTTACGTGTTCGCTTGCTCACAAAACACGCGCAGAACAGATTTCTGTGTTAATGTTTTCTAAACCCATTCTTGTGTAAGTATTCACATTATTTTGGGTTGTAAATGTAAAATGTTTAAAAAAAAAATCTGTTCAAGTAATTCATAAATATTCATAAAATATTATGTTTACATAATATATGCGGGTGCACTGTGTATAATTATTTTATATATATATAAACACACACACATGCTTGTATTTAAGAAATATTTGCATTTATATTATAAATAAATATAAATATTTTATATATAAATAGTTTTTTTTTCTTAAATATACATGCATGTGTGTGTATTTATATATATAAAATAATTATACACAGTGCACCCACATATATGTAACACAAACTTTTATTTTGGATGTGATTAATCTCGATTAATCGTTTGACAGCCCTAAAAAAATCAACCTCTATCTTTGCAAAATAAGAGGATGAGGCATTTAAAGCAAGACATTCATTTGTTTTGCATTATGTTTCATGATTGTTTCATTTTTGCTTGTGCTCTTTCCTCTCATCTTTTGAGGTCTTGCATTTTTTTATGATACTCGAAATATAATTATTTCATGATTGTCCCTGACTATGCCAGGTCATATTTCAGCCTATAAAATCACAAGAAATATGAACCAGACTAATTTTCAGGGAAGCCAAATGCCAATATTTTCAGTGACAAATTGTGGATAGTTGTGTTACAATGTTCATTAAATAAATGTGTCATTATTACCATTGTGATTTTTGATTTTGTTTGCATTCAGTGGACTGTAGAATCGCTCACATCCTTCCTGCTTTTCTTTTTCAAGTCAAGTCACATTTATTTATATAGTGCTTTTCACAATACAGATTGTATCAAAGCAGCTTCACAGTGATAACATGAAAGTAGTACAACACAGATCAATAATATTGTTAAATATTAAATATCCCTCATATTTTTCTCTCTTTCTTTCTTTTTTCCCGCTCTGACCCTATATTATTTTGCTTCAACCTTTCTTTTGTCTTCTGCCAAGTAAAGTAAAAGAGAGAGAGGAGGGAGAACAGGGTTTGTAAATACATGAGTGAGTCCACAGATAAGAGAGACAGTTTATTCAATAGCATATGAGAAGTGTTATCTGTGTGTTCAGGACACAACGTCCCCCTCATGGATAATAGCAGAAATCTTTGTCCTCGTGGGAACATTTTTAGTCCATAAGAGGAAAACTGCTTATAAATCAAACTAAATTATGTTTTTTGAAAATGTAAAAATGCATAGGAATCTGTGATACGCTCTCAGAAAAAAGTACAAAAGCTGTCACAGGGGCTGTACCTTTTCAAAAGGTACACTTTTGTCCATTTTAGGTACTAATATGTACATTTTAAGTGGTAATATGTACATTTCAGGTGCTAATATGTACATTGTAGGTGCTAATATGTGCATTTTGGGTGCTAATGTACATTTTAGGTGCTAATATGTACAGTTTAGGAGTTGATATGTACATTTTAGGTGCTAATATGTACAGTTTAGGTGTTAATATGTACATTTCAGGTGTTAATATGTACATTTTAGGAGTTAATATGTGCATTTTGGGTGCTAATATGTACATTTTAGGTGCTAATATGTACATTTTAGGAGTTAATGTGTACATTTTAAATGCTAATAAGTACATTTTAGGTGTTAATATGTACATTTCAGGTGCTAATATGTACATTTTAGGCGCTAATATGTACCACTAAGGTACCAAAATGTAGCCTTTGGGTACAAAAGTGTACCTTTTGAAAAGGTACAACCCCAGTGACATCTTTTGTACCTTTTTTCTGAGAGTGGTGGTTTCTGGGATATACAGTTTGTACAGTATAATAATTATGTCCTATAAAACATGGAAACTTACATGTGCATTCCCTTTAGATCCCCATGGCATACCACTAAATTTTGTCTTTACAGTATATGTCCTTTTTTGTAAGCCCAATGAGGATGAGAGTATTAATCATACATAATTAAAATGTAAAATGCAGAAAGAGTTCTGTGATGGGTAGGGTTAGTGTAAGGCAGTTTGTATGGTATAAAAAAACAATTAGGCTACGTCAAAGGAGAGTTACCATTTAACATGGTGTATGTGTGTGCGCCAGTGCTTTAGTGTGTGTGTGTGTGTGTGTGTGTGTGTGTGTGTTCTTGTTTTCTTGCAGCCCTGAGGACACTCCTGCCAAAGGCATCGCCGTGGGAACGAGAGAGAGAGAGAGAGAGAGGGGGGGGTGTCTGTTTCTAGCGCAGTCAGCAGTAAAGTCCCTCACTACCTTGTTTCGCGGACGGGACGGGCCAGGACGGTAAGCGGGTACGCGATGCGCCTCTGAGTCCGGGGTCTAGCGCGATCATGAAGAACATCCCCGAGAAGAGGAGCGAGAGCGGCGGCCTGCGCGGCCCCGCGGCCCGGGATGATGATGAGTGCGCGGACGCGGAGCGCGAGACGCTGATGATGGAGCTGGCGCGGCTCGTGCAGGAGAGTGTGCGCGCGAGCAGCTGGTGGGAGAGGAGGGGGGTCGACTGCACCATCCTGACCGCAGCCTTCGTCAGTTTACCTGCAGGTAATGAGAAACACAACACACTCCTGGCGAATCTCGTCAAACTAACTAAACACAGCCTAGTCATACTAACGTTATTCTGAAGCGTATTCAATAACAATTAACCGCATTTCCCATTTAAATGTCCATGATGCAGCAAAACTAATGACGATGATGTGTGGGGGGAAATTATATTGTTTTAATAGTAAAGTAGTAACCTATTTGTATTGTTTTTTTTTTTTGTTTGTTTGTTTGTTTTGGTGTTTGACAATTATTTAGTAAGAAATAAGAATGATTTAAGTAAATATTTTTTTAAGTACAATCAACTTGGATGTTTAAGTCATTGCAACTTAAATTACATTAAACTGACTTTCGTTTTCAGCTTAAATTACATTAAACTGACTTTAAAAAAGTAGAAAATTCTTTAGCTTATTTTGATGAGTTAAAGCCATGTGAAAACATATGTTGTTGTTGTTATAACTTATATTTATTTGTTAATGTATTACAAATATAATTTTATTCCAAGTATTTTAAAATGTTTTTGTTTTGTTTTGGAAATGTTTTTTGACATTCACCCATTAAAGTGTGTGTTTTATATTGAGGGTGTATCAGAACATCTAACTGTATATTGCGAGTATGAAGGTGTGTAATGTTATTAATAGGGAGTGTTTTGAATAATGTGCAATTTAAATTAATTGTTTATTGTGCAGTCCCAGGGTGTGACAGTGTGTCAGATGGTTATTGGGTGATTAACTTATTAAAATGACACACAAACTCAGCAGAAGTCGATATTGCTTCAGATTTGTGCCAACACTCTAAAAAATGCTGGGTTGTTTTAACCCAATTTTGGGTAAAATATGGACAAACCCAGCCATTGGGTTAAAAATGTAATTTAAAAATGTAACCCAATGGCTGGGTTTGTCCATATTTTACCCAAAATTGGGTTAAAACAACCCAGCATTTTTTAGAGTGAAATATTTGGATCCATAAAAAAGCTTTATAACCTTTCAGACACTGGCTATGGTTTACGGCTCCTGTGGGGTCGTTGTCATGGCGACCGGTTGGGTTTGCGTCCTCTCTCCCATAGGGAAGATCCAGTTTCCTTCACAGTGACTCGTCTTTCAGGGAGAAAACGATGGCACGACTCCGGCTCCTCCGGTTAAACGGCTTCATTATGAGATAAAAAGATCAAACTGAATCATTTCGGCATCCGTTGAGATTCAGCAGGGTGGCAGTGTGTCTGGACATAATGATCTGGATGGAGACAATTATTTACAGAAAAAACAAAGCAAAACAAAAACGGCCTAATCTACGCAACACTTTACGAAAAAATGTGGTATCCCTTTCCATAAGGTCTCATTTATTAATGCATTAGCTAGATCAATATTTTCTTGCAGCATTTGTTAATCTTTGGTATTGTTGGTTTATTCATGTTAGGTCAAAGTGCATTAAAGGAGTAGTTCACTTTTAAAAAAACTTTTGCTGATAATTTACTCACCCCCATGTCATCCAAGATGTCCATGTCTTTCTTTCTTCAGTCGAAAAGAAATGAAGGTTTTTGATGAAAACATTCCAGGATTTTCTCCATATAATGGACTTCAATGGGGTCCAAACGGTTCAAGGTCCTACACTCTTTGAAGAAATGGTTCTATTTAGAACCAGAAATGGTTCCATCCCCCGCTTCATATATGGAACTCCAAAATGGTTCTATATAGAACCTTTTTTTTTTTTGGTAAAAGGTTCTATTGGCCAAGTATGGAACCCCAGGGTTCTATATAGAACCCAGAGGAACCCTTTGTATAGAACCTTTTAGGGGTTCCAAATACGTAGCGCTGATAGAACCTTTTAAGGTTCTATATAGAACCTTTTCTTCTAAGAGTGTAATGAGAACTCAAAAAAAGATTCGTTCATTTTGATGAACGAGTTCGAACAGGAGAGTCACGAATGCGCATCACAGAACAGAGCAAGGCGAGCATTTGTGCTTATAAAACTTAAACTTTATTTTTGAAATGAGCGATCGCTTGGCTAGATAAGACCCTTATTCATCGTCTGGTGTCGTAGCACTAAGAGTTTTGAAAATGTACACATTCCTTGTGAAAATAGCACCAAAGCGAATAAAAAAAACTGTAGGCTAATATCCAAATACACTTTAAAAAAATGCTGTTTTTTATGTAAATGGATCACTATTGTAAAGTTTTGCCAAAAATGTGTTAATATCAATACACTGTATGTTTATTATAATATTTGCTTGCTGATATGCATTTAACCTAACATCAAATGGCACATGATTTATGTGTCATATCTTTGATTATGCAGGTGTTGATGTTCATATCTTTAGCTTGAGTCGAACGCTGCTGATGCTGTTCTCGTGTTTGCAGGGTTCGTGTTGTTGGGTTCGTCTCAGATGATGTGTTTCCTGTTGGGTTTGCTGATGATGGGTGTTGCTCACGCGGTCATCACTGTTAAAGGGACACATCTGGCCAGTCACGGGGCGCTCAGCGAGTCTCCGGCCTGGGCGCACTTCTGGGCCGTCTTCTTCATCGAAGTGAGATCCAATATATATTCAGTTCACATTTATTTGTAGCGCTTTTCACAATACACACACATACACTCTAAAAAATGCTGGGTTGTTTCAACCCAATTTTGGGTCAAATATGGACAAACCCAAATGTTGGGTTTAAAATGTAATTAAACAAATTACAGTTCAAAATGAAAGTTGAAGTTGGGTTCAAATTTTAAATGACATTTTCAACCCAACATTTGGGTTTGTCCATATTTGACCCAAATTTGGGTTGAAACAACCCAGCATTTTTTTTAAGGTGTAGTTTCAAAGCAGCTTTACAGAAAATGCATCATTTCCTGTTATCAGAGGAAACTGTCTTAGTATGTACATATACAAAATCACAGTTAGCTAAAAGTATATTCATTTAAACAATGTAATCATTTAGGGCAGAAACAATGAGCTCATTGAAGTTATAAATACTTGATTGTCAGAGTTTGCTGGAGAAATGAAATTAATCAACACATTGAATATAGGGAAATATATCCTTGTAAAGCACCATTAAACGGTATTATCTGAAAAATACAGTGGTTTTACCATTTAATATTATTATTAGTCCCACTGTACTTTTCATTTCCATTTTTCAAAATGTTCACACAGCTCACGCTCTGCAACATGAAAACTGCATAAGAATGGAAAGAATTTCACCGATTAATTCTTCATGAATTAACTTTGAGATTAACAGGATTTAGATTTCGTGTACATCCTCTCAAGAATGTAAAAGATCATAGTAACAGACTGTACACGGCACTGAATAATACATTTTATAATTTTTTTCAACAAATGATCATTGCAGATTATGTTAGCACAACAGTTTCAGTGAAATAAACATTTAATATAAATTAAATATTTGCATTATTATATTATTTAATTTAATAGTTTAATGCAATATAAATATTAAATGAGATTGTTTATTATTAAAAATAGCCTATGTAATATATAATAATGAAATGCACTGTTCCCTGAGGTGTGCGGCTCGTTCTCGGCGCGGGCTGGTGTTCAGGCTCATGTGAAGATGCATCACGCTCACACTAACGTGATCGGCCTGGGAGACTCCAGCACGTGGAAGATGCCTTTCCTTCCTCGATCCGTGTATCTGTTCATCGCTCCGCTGGCCGTCCCCATCATCACACCTCTCGTCGCCGTCGGTGAGTAGCTTTTCCATCAGTTATGATGACGAGAGACCTTATGTGCTCCTAAATTATGTCTGACTAACTCAGACATGTTTAAAGTAGGGCTGTCAAACGATTATGTGGGTGCACTGTGTATAATTATTTTATATATATAAATACACACACATGCTTGTATATATTTAAGAAATATTTTAATGTATGTAGATTAATGTATAATTTATATTCTATATATAAATTAAAAAAAATTCTTAAATATATACATGCATGTATGTGTATTTATATATATATATATTAGGGCTGTGCAAAAATTAATTGCGATTAATCGCATCCAAAATAAAAGTCTGTGTTTACATGATATATTTGTGTGTGCTGTATATAATTATTTTGTATATATAAATACAAACACATGCATGTATATATTTAAGAAAATGTTTTATTCATAAATAAAATATTTATATTTATATAATATAGATTATGTATTTATATGTATATACAGAATTTAAGCGCAAATAATTCTTAAATATATACATGCATGCATACGTATTTATATAGACAAAATAATTATATACAGCACACACAAATATATTATGTAAACACAGACTTTTATTTTGGATGCAATTAATTTTTGCACAGCCCTAATATATATACAAAATAATGATACACAATGCACCCACATTTATTATGTAAACACAAACTTTTATTTTGGATATACAATAAAGTGATTTTGCTGCATTTTTACTCTCAGTGAGGACAGAAAATGACTTTTTTGCTATATAGTCTCAGAATAAAGGTACAAAAGCTGTCACTGGGGGCCCTTTCTAAATTGAACACAAGCACAGACAGTCACTTTCACAAAACACAGTTCATTTACAACCAGAAACAAAGAAAACAAACAATAACTAGACTTCACAATACTCACAGAACCGAATAAACAAACACAGAGATCTTGCATGGAACACATAATTACAGAGGTACAGGTGACACTAATGAACATCAATACTAACGAGGGAACAAGGGGCGCGGCATGCTAATACAACATTAACTAACAAGGAAACGAGGTTAAACATTAGACAATGCAAACACCCGGCCATGTGTTAGCACACAAAACACTTTCAAAAGCTAAGTAACCCAAAGGTATCTACACTCTAAAAAAAATGGTGCTAAATAGCACTAAAAGTGGTTCATTTGCTTGTAATCATCTTATCTTTGTCATATGGTGCTATGTAACCATAAGAGGTGCCATAGAGCACGTTAACCACCCTAGAGAACCACTGAAGAACCAAACTGGGCTTAACAGGTTCTTTAAATGGTAGTGGTGCTATATAGCACCATGACCACCTCAAAGAACCCCTGAAGAACCTTTCTTTTTTAGAGTTTATTGGTTAGCCTGGATGCTAGCCGAGCTTAGCCCCGCCCACAGCATCTGAGGATGGGAAGTTCGGTCTGGACTTGATCCGTTTGGAAGCAAGTATTCCTGAACCAAAGCTGTTCGGACCTATCAAATCGTCAGGGCGGGCTTTATACGATGATGGACAGATTATCAACCGTAACGTAATCCAAAGAGCGCTTGGGTTGAGTTAGTTTACAACAAAGATGGCTGCCGCTGGAGAACTGAGATGTATCTGTTATAGAAGATGTCGACGACAGCGCATTCATTTTAAAAGAGGAACAAGGCATTTGTCGAGTGCAGAGGCATTTTCTTTCCTGGTTGGCTTGAAACGCCCCATAATCACAGGCCAATGGAGCCGTATCAGACTCACATGAGTATGACGACGTCAGGCTACCTATTGGTACCAAAAGTGCACATATTAGTACCTAAATGGTACATCCTGGAACCTTTTGAAAAGGTTTGAAAAACCTTTTGAAACCCCAGTGACCGCTTTTGTTTCCTTTAATCTGAGAGTGCATAGACATGTACACTAGACCTCACCTGGGGGTTCTAAGCATGCGTCAAAACCGCCGCCATCTTGGAACAGGGGTTTTGTCATAGGAAGTAGCTAGGTAACGCTGCTATCTCTGCCTTTACTTCGAATTCATTGATGGTGGCGGACTTTTGTGCAGCGTATGATGTTCACGGATGAAATCTGAACTAGGAAGAATGTTTTTTAAAAAATAAAAATAAAAAAATGTTCTTTCTGGAATCAATGATAAATACATGACTGACCGTTGGAACAAACCAAAAAAAAAAACAAGAAAAATCGCATTCATGATGAGTTATGGTGATTTTATTTGCGTTAGACCTGTGTCTACTACATTGACGCTGATGCATTAAAGTGGAGGGGCTCCCCTGTTTCAAGATGGCGGCTCTATTGACGCATTCGTTCCAATGAACTGCCGTAGCCAAGGTGAGGTCTAGTGTATATGTCTATGCTGAGAGTGTAGCTGCGTTACAGTACATGCGTTTCCATCTGAGATCTTCTGTGCTCGTGTGAGTGAGTGTTTCATGTGTTTGTGTTTCAGGTCAGCTGAAGGGTCAGTCTCCGCTCCAGATCATGCGCACCGTGGTGTGTGTGTGTGTGGGGTTTTTCTCTCAGTATTACCTGCTCAGGTGTGTGTCAGGGCTGTCGTGCAGCTCTGCTCTGCTGGTCATGCTTCTGTGTAGAGCCATGTTCTCCCTGCCGTACATACACGTCAACATATTTCAGGTGAGATATACGTGCAGAAAACTCATTCGTCCACAAAACCGCCGATAACTCGACATGCACGATTGCTCAATTACAGGAGTTCGGTGATCTGACAATAAAACAGCCCTATAGCAACACCCTAACAACCACCCACAGCATCCCAGCATCATGACTACAAACATGAGCACCGCTAATCTGCAGTATTTTAAATGATTTGCCCCGCTTATCTTCAGAAAAGCTGTTTTTGCGTGCTCAGAAAATATCACTTTTCAGAAAATATAAAAATATAATTGTTTTTCATGTTTAGAAAATATAAATTAAATTATACCACTTATTCATGATTCATTTTCACACTATCTTTAGAAAATATAGTAGATTTTGCATTCTACTGTGGTTTTATGCATGCTCAGAACATAAAAATTACATTATTTACACTACTAATCTTCAGAGAAATATAAAATAGATAGTTGTTTTTGCATGCTCACAAAATATAAATGACATTTATTCCACTTATCTTCAGAAATATAGTTGCTGCATGCTCAGAAAACATAAATTAAATTATTTACACTACTTACCTTCCCAAAATATAAAAATAGTTGTTTTTGCATGTTTAGAAAATATAAATTGCATTATTTATGCTCCCTATCTTCAGAAAAATATAAAATGTATTGTTGTTTTTGCATGCTCACAAAATGTAAATTACATTTATTCCACTTATCTTCAGAAATATAGTTGCTGCATATTCAGAAAATATAAATTATATATTTGCATGCATGCTACAGTTGTTTATGCATGCTCAGAAAATATGAATTCAATTATTTACACTACTTCACAAAATATAAAAATAGCTGTTTTTGCATGTTTCGAAAATATAAATTATATAATATATAATTATTAAAAATATACTTGTTTTTGCATGCTGAAAAAATATAAAATACATTTATATTAGGGGTGTAACGATACCCTCATGTCATGATTCGATACATATCACGATACTGAACACACGATATGATGTTATTGTGATACTCCAAGACATCTGGTAAAAGGTAAACAAAAAAATTTACTGTTTATTAAAAAAAAAAAAACTTTGATATTACATTGTGGGTTTAAATGAATAGGTTTGGACTCTATTAGGACAATAGAGACAGCAGAATAACAATATTCATGATTCTGAAGCTGAAACTACAGAATTATTGTAGACGAATATGCTTGAACGCTTTCACTGACTAGATTTAAAATAATGTCGGCCACTTTATACTGGTAACATCAGGCATTTGGCATTATCAGGACCCACCAATATTCCCACATTGCATTATTATACATTATTTTCACTCTACATAGTTTAATGTAGTACTAAAACTCTACACTAAACACTGACACTAAAACTTTTTTCTTTATTTTGGGGGGACTATCCACAATACGTACTGTGATACGATATGTATTGTGGCATGATATATTGTTACACCCCTAATTTATGCTACTTATCTTCAGAAAATATGTTGTTACCACTCATTTTTAGAAAATATATATATTATTTATGCATACTCGTGATACCAGTGGTACAAAAATGACAGAAGTTGTAGTATGGTTGTGGTCAGCAGCATCACATGACCCACTATCAGCAGAAAGTCTCTCTCAGTACAGTAACACTCCAGCACTACATTACTCTCTCTCTCTCATAAGAGTAATCTGAGCGTGAACTTTCAGAGCTATTCAGCTAACGTCTGCTTTGTGTGTCTCTCCATCCTTTCCCCCGAGACCCGCTGAAAGCAGCTTTGTTCCCCTCTCCTGCGTGCTTGCGGAGGTTCACAGGGTTCATTTGTAAATTCACGCATGATTTTCCCAGGCAGAGCGAAGGCAGAATGTGCTTCTGTGTTACGCTGATCTCTGAAGTCCGTTTTGTCTAGTTCGGGCCCCTGTGGCGTCAGTGGCGCCCGTAACCGCTTCAAACGTCACACACACACACACACACTAAACCGAAACACTGAATCACTAAAAGGGTCGTGCTATTGTTATAATGTTGCAGTACAAGTTTTCCATGATCTGACCTCCGTGTTTTTGCAGCACATCGGACTGCCGATGTTTTCCGCCGCTAGCCGTCCCAAACGGATCTACCAGATGACCCACGGAGTCCTGAACCTTCCCCGAAACCCAGCGCTGGACTGGACCTTCGGCCATTCCCTCATCAGCTGCCACGTCGAGCATCACCTCTTCCCATTCCTGTCCGACAACATGTGCCTGAAGGTGTGTGTTCACACACACAAACACATGCATTCCTCAACTTATATACTGACATGGAGCCCACACTCTAAAAAATGCTGGGTTGTTTTAACCCAATTTTGGGTCAAATATGGACAAACCTGAAATGTTGGGTTAAAAATGTAATGTAAAAATTTAACCCAACGGCTGGGTTAGTCCATATTTGACCCAAAGTTGGGTTAAAACAACCCAGCATTTTTTAGAGTGCAGTGTTTCTAAAAAATTGCAGACCCCCCCCCCAAAAAAAATTTTTTTTTTTAAATTGTCATTTAAAATACTTAAATTATTTTACGTATTGCTTATATTACTGAATTATTTCAGTATTGAATGTTTACTGTTTTTATTTATGCTGCATTTTAATAAAATTAAATAATTGAATTAATAATTAAATAAGATGTAATTATTAATCTATTACAAATACTTAATTAATGTAAAGTTTATTATTTTACTGTAATATTTTTGTATGGAATATTTTAATTCGATTAAATTATTAAGTTAAATTAAGATGCAGCATAAACAAATATAGCAACAGTAATGAAGTAAAAGTAATCAAAATAGATTCATAAAAGGGGAAAACTAATATATTACGATATGGCAAATATATATATATATATATATATATATACAGTATTTATATATACAAGTAAACAATTTAACTAAGGATTTATTTAACAATTTAATTTAATATTTACATTAAATTAAAATGCAGCACAAAGTAACAATACAATTCACAAAAAGGAATAATTTATTAATTTAGATAACATAACATATATAACGTTAACATACTAATAACATATATATATATATAATATATATATATAAAACATTATAAATTAAATTATAATATGAGAGTAAATAGTTAAAATATATATATATATATATATTAACTATTTACTCTCATGTTGTAATTTAATTTATAATTTTTTCTTAACAAATAAACAAAACCTTTCACAAAAAGGATTAAACTTAATAAGAAAAATTACTCAAACGAGACACACAGAAGCAAAACAAGTTACAAAGAAAAAACTATAAATATGATGATAAATAAACAGTAATCGTGTGTGTGTGTGTGTGTGTGTGTGTGTGTGTGTGTGTTCTGGCTCAGGTGAAGCCCATCGTGTCTCAGTTTCTGAAGGAGAAGAAGCTGCCGTATCAGGAGGACGGGTACGTGTCCCGTCTGCGTCTCTTCTTCCACAAATATCAGGAGCTGATGGTGTTCGCTCCACCCATCACCGACCTCGTGGGAGTGCAGTGACCGAGGGAGACGATGAAGAGGAGGACTCAACAGAGCATGGACACTGACATGATGGACAAGTGTCATGCGTTTCCAAATGCTTCCATATCATACACACACTTAACTGGTGCATTAGAACTGAAGTCAACGTTTCACAACCCATTTTACTTCCATAACGTGTCATATTTATGAGTTAAACAGGGTATTCAAGAAGAAAACTAAGTGTAGGATGAGACTTGAATGCAGAAATGGGAAGTAATTTTACATATGCATCAAACATGGTGAAGAATTATAAAGACAAACATGTGTCGGTTTAGAATAATGTGCACTGATGAATCATGAAAACATCAGGAATCTGTAATAAGGAAAAAAGGGGATCAGTTTTGATTCCACAGTCACTCGCAGCCTCGTTTAAAAATGATGCTTTCATATAAACATATTAAGAAAGCAGGATTTCCTTTAGACAACGCTTAGCTTAAGGACATGACTGAATGTAAAGATCATTGCCTTATGTGCAATGACATCAGATCAGTGATAATACTGCACTGCAGCTCTCAGCACATACGACCTCTGACCCCCAACAGCTCTCAGCTTCAACAACTCCATTAACACTTAATGATGGATAAAACTTTACCTAATCTATACAAGACAATTAGCAGAAACTGTCATACACAGGGGAAACAACTCATTCTAACAGAGTTTGCAATACATTATGCATTTATATTAAATGTGATGCTGGCAAACAAACATATATTTTGCCCATATGCTAATAACAATCCTATAATATGAGTGCAATATAAACAAAGCCCACAGTAGAGTTCAGTACATGTAGCTATGACATTAATATGATCTAAACACATAATCATGTTCACAGTATTACAGTAGTAATTTTGCACTAATTTAATTTTTTTTTTTTTTTTTTTTGGGGGGGGGTTGAGTCATTTTAACCAAAATCATTCACTTTCGATGTGCTGTTAGTGAATGCACATAAATGTGTGAGAGAGAATGTCAAAATGAACATTTAAGATGTGCATTGATTTTACTGACCAAATAAATTGAAGTAAACATTCGACTGTTTTCGTGTGTGACTTCAAACACACCGCTCATATTGATGACTTTCATGTTGCTTTTATGGCGTTTCATTGTCTGTCCCCTTTTAACATGCATTGTATACAAATAGAACAAAGGTTTCCTGATATAGAAAGTCAGATGGGATTGGAAGACCATCAGGGGAGTACAAAATAATAATAATAAATAAATATGATAGGTTTGTATTTTTAAATATTGTGTATATATATATATATATATATATATATATATATTCGTAGAAGAGCTTTGATCTTATATCACTATATAAACTGCTTTATTTTTCACGGAATAAAGATATCCAGGTTCGGATCATGTTCCCTTTGTCCAGCAGGAGGCAGCACTGACCTTTATCTCGAATGAGTCAATATATCTGAAAAGATTCTTCTGTAGTACACGTCTGTAAGACATTATTTTACAGTTTGATTTATACAACTTTTCATATTACTTGGAAAATATCACATTCATGTGAAAAAATGGGCTAAAGCTAAGCCAAGCTTTGAACATTTTATGAAAGAGATGAAACAATATGGTAATTCATTAGATAAAATTAAGAACAAAAAAAGCAAGAAAGACCTATGAAGCGTTATGTAACTTTAATTTATTGTAACTTTACCCCTGGCATGATTTTTTTTTTCTTTTTTTCTATTTGTTATGAGTTGTATTGTCATGTAAATCTCTTTGTATATTCTTTGTTGCAATAAAAAAAAAAAATTACAATCAAACCCTAATCCAAACCCATACATGTAATATTACTCAGTACTTAAATGTATAATTACAGTGAAACAAGTGTAACCCACTTTATTTTACAGTCCTGTTCCCCATGTTACCTACATGTAAATACACATATTATAAAATAAAGTGCAACCAATTGATTGTATTTGTTAACAACATGAAGGGCCTGGAATGCATCCTGTGTGAGTGATGGTATTGTTACATTTTTACACCGGTTTTATCATTCACTTTCAATCAATGTATGGAAAAAGGAGCAGCTTGAACATTCTGCCTAACATCTCCTTTTGTGTCCCACAAAAGGGTGTGTGGGTGAATAATTGAATTGTTATTTGAGAAACCATATTACAGTATCAAAACACCACCATAACAGCAACCACATGCCCTCATGATCTGCATACTGACTCCGCCCACATCACAGTGTAACCACGCCCACACTGCCTCTGGCTAGGAGGAGAATATGAGGAACTGGTTGAGTTTCAGGGGGAGTGGCTTGGATCAACTCACCTGTCATTCATTCCTTGGGTTTGGCTGCAACTTTAAACTGAAGTCGCTCATGACACTTGAAGCCAGACAGACAGAAAGCAGTCATGGGCGACGTGGTACTCACAGCAGATCTGCCAACAAGAAGCAAAAGTTTAGATAAACTCGAGCAGAAGTCTACAGAAGAGGAGAAGACGATCCAGGTGAATGGATCTCCACAGACAGACGGAGAAAAGGTCAGCAAGATCACCGAGGAAAGCAAGATTCAAGAAGACCTCCAGGAATCGGAGGACCCCCAGAAGCCCCAGGACGAAGAGCCCGCGCTGGGGCCAGATGACGTCACGTGTGACTCCTGCATCGACCGACCGTGCCGGGCCAAAAAGTCGTGCTTGACATGCCTGGTGTCTTACTGTGAGGACCACCTGAGACCACACCTGGAGAACGTGAAGTTTCAGAGCCACAAGCTGGTGGAGCCGCTGCGGGACATCGAGAGACGCACGTGTGAGACTCACCGCGCGCCGCTGGAGCTCTACTGCCTGGCCGACGCGCGCTGCGTGTGCCCGGAGTGCGTGCGCGAGGAACACCGCGGCCACAACGCCGTGCCCATCACCGAGGCGCGCAGGAGCATAGAGGTATTGCTGAAGGGCACTTTCATCTTTTTATTAATAATGTTAAAATCAAAATAATGTATAATTAAAGCCTGATAATGTTCCAATTTAACTCTGTTGAGAATTTGAGAAAAGTTTGGGGTTGGTTAGAGTCTCTTCTGCTCACTAAGGCTGCATTTATTTGATCAAAAATACAGTAACATTGTATAAAACATAGCTGTTTTCTATGCGAATATATAGTAAAGTGTAATTTATTCCTGTGATCAAAGCTGAATTTTCAGCATCATTACTCCAGTCTTCAGTCAGTGTCACATGATCCTCCTGAAATCACTCATACTGTAAAAATACAACAAAAAAATTGTTGGTTTACCTTAAAAAAGTAAGTTAGCATGGTCGCCTTTATTTTGAGATCTTACAATGAAAAACAGAATTTGAGTCATTAAAATAAGAACAAATCGTGAATACAGTGAATATGCTGACATAAACATTTCTGATTATTATCAATGTTTAAAACAGTTGTGGTGCTTCATATTTTTGTGGAAACCATGATTTTCTGGATGATAAAAAAATGGATTGTTCAATTGAAAATAGAAAACATTTTAAACATTATAAATGTCTTTAGTGACCCTTTTAATTTGTTTAAATATAATGCAAACAAGAAAAAACCTCCATTACTTCTGACTTTGATGAGAGTCACACACACAGAAGACATATATATCATAGTAAGAGTGTGTTCTTCCAAATTCAGCTAAAGGGTTTACACTCATCTTATTTTTGCTTTTTAAGCAAATAAAAAAACAAACCCTTTAGGAGACCCCATTGCCCATATAATAAAACACAAACTGTTCCTCATATCCAATGAATCATGTCAGTGAGGAAACGAACAGAGGACTTTATCATTCCTCTCTCTCTCACTGTGATTGAATCAGATCATGGATTGTAAGATCAGATCAGACGGCATCTCTCAGACTGTCTCTCTCTGATTTCAGGTCACATGATGTGCTTATACCGTTTCAAAGGCCTGATAATGGGTCTGTGTGCTCATGAGAGACCTGATAAAGAGACATTAGTGTTAGCTAAGATTGTTACTGATGCTCATACTAAGGTTAGTGATGTAATCAAGCTCACACAATGAAGTTTAATACCTATTGCTTTAGGTGTGGATGATTCCTCAAATCATGTTGTGCTGTTACTAACCAACCATTCAAACAGAACGGTGGGGAATTGTTCACCAATGCTAAAATGTAACAAGAAAGTAGAACATTTCCACCACTTCGACTTAAAAACTAATCAAACTTAAGTCTAATCAAATTAAGTCATTTCAACTTAAATTATATTAAAACTTAAAGGAGTAGTTCACTTTAAAAAAAAACTTTTGCTGATAATTTACTCGCCCCCATGTCATCCAAGATGTCCACGTCTTTCTTTCTTCAGTCGAAAAGAAATGAAGGTTTTTGATGAAAACATTCCAGGATTTTCTCCATATAATGGACTTCAATGGGGTCCAAACGGTTCAAGGTGCAAATGAGAGTTTCAGTGCAGCTTCAAAGGGCTTTAAACGACACCAGACGATGAATAAGGGGCTTATCAAGCAAAGCAAGCGCTCATTTAATAAATAAATAAAACAGTTTAAGTTTTATAAGCACAAATGCTCACCTTGCTTGCTGTGTTCTGTGATGCGTGTTCGTGAGTCGTGACTCTCCTGTTCGAACTCGTTCATCCAAATTAATAAATCTTTTCCCGAGTCAATTTGTTGATTTTGTGCGTTGAATCAACGATTCGTTCATTTTGATGAGCAAGTTTGAACAGTAGAGTCCCGAATGTGCATTACAGAACAGAGCAAGGCGAGCATTTGTGCTTATAAAACTTAAACTGTTTTATTTATTTTTTCAATGAGCGCTCGTTTCGCTAGATAAGACCCTTATTCATCATCTGGTGTCGTTTAAAGCCCTTTGAAGCTGCACTGAATCTCTCATTTGGACCTTGAACCGTTTGGACCCCATTGAAGTCCATTATATGGAGAAAATCCTGGAATGTTTTCATCAAAAACCTTCATTTCTTGAAGAAAGACATGGACATCTTGGATGACATGGGGGTGAGTAAATTATCCGTTTTTTTAAAGTTAAAGTTTGTTTTTCCAATTTTAAAGTGAACTACTCCTTTAAATTTAGTTGAAGCCTGTTACTTAAAAGGAAGTAGGAATCCTGTAGCTTATAAAGACTTGACTTGGACTTAGACTTGAGAGGAACATACAAAACAGGACTGCAAACACAAGGCAGATCATGAGGGAGGACAGGTAGGGCAAATGAATCAATAATCAGTTAACAAGATAGACAGGGCTACACATTCGACAGGAGAGCACAAAGCAAATCACCAGCCATGTGCTCACACAAAACCAGACATGAACACGCAGCCAATAAGACACAAAACAGGACAACATGAAAGCACACTAGTGTAAAACAAAAGCTGCACAAGACAAAACACAACATGAAAACTCACGGCCCATGTAAACACGAACCTTGTGCTACACACAACACAACAACACGAACGCAAAGTCATCTTGTTACATTAAAATCAAGTTCATTGAAAGAAATGTTAGTCAATACAAATGTAGAGATTTAATACATAGAAATCTGAATTAGTTAACTAAGTTGTGATATCAAATCTTTAAATATATATATATATATATATATATTAGGGCTGTGCAAAAATTATTTGCGATTAATCGCATCCAAAATAAAAGTCTGTGTTTACATAATATATTTGTGTGTGCTGTATATAATTATTTTGTATATAGAAATACCTATGCATGCATGTACAGTATATTTTTAAGAATTATTTGCGCTTAAATTCTGTATATATATATATATATATATAAATACATAATCGGAATTATATAAATATAAATATTTTATATATGAATAACACATTTTCTTAAATATATACATGCATGTGTGTGTATTTATATACACAAAATAATTATATACAGCACATACAAATATATTATGTAAACACAGACTTTTATTTTGGATGCGATTAATCACAATTAATTTTTGCACAGCCCTAATATATATATATATATATATATATATGAAGAGTTCAGATGCAAAAGCCTCTAAATGCCATTTGAAATGTTCTTCTTTAATGATGATTTTTATCAAATTTGTATATTTAAGTTCAGTAATTTCACTTAAATGACAATTAATAGGTAATCTTCATTGCCATTTAAGTGAAATCACTGAACTTAAATATACAAGCTTGATAAAAATGACCATTCTAGAAGAAAATTTCAAATGGCACTTAGAGGCTTTTGCATCTGAACTCTTCATATAAAAACTGCTGATTCGTCATTATTTAGGATAGTATGGTAGTGCTGGACTAGTTATGTGTTTGTCTGTAGTTGTGTGAGTTTGACCATTTGCTGTAACAACTGAAAGATCTGTTGGGATTTCTCTTTCCTTTTGACGCCTCACTGACAGTGTTTCTGGTTATTCTGCATCGATTTGTGCGCTTCAGTTCATGACGTCTGTGTGAAATAATCTCCTCAAGAATGCAAAACATCTCAGATGCTTCTGTGATAATAAAGACACGCATGAATGCCACTACAACTAACAAACACACATCCTTTTTTAAAGACTGGATAATGTATCAGAATGTAAACACTCTCTCGTAACATGTGACATGTTTTCATTGTAATGCAACACCTTTAAAGGGATAGTTCACTTTGAAATTAATTTTTGATATGTTTTATCTTACCTCAAGGGCATCCAAGATGTAGGTGTCTTTGTTTCAGCTTCGTTCTTGTCTGTCAGTCATATAATGGAGGTCTATGGTCACCATAGGATTAAACATGATTTAATGACTCGTGAATGTAAGTACACATTGATGGCCTAAGACACGAAACGAGCGGTTTCTTATATTACTAAGCTAAAGCATACCAAAAATTAATTTCAAAGTGAACTATCCCTTTAACATGTTTCTTGCTGTGGCCGCAAATGAACGCTTTTGGTTATTTACAGTCAAATTATCTGGCATATTTGCATGGTAAACAAACAAAGAAGCTTTTATCCTTTTGAGTTTGAAAGCAGCTCTTATTATGATCAACGCTGAAAACGGTTCTGCTGCTTCTTTGGTTAATCGGACCTTTTTCCGGATTGTTTTTAGGAAAGGAAAGTTCAAAAGAACAGCGTTTATTTGAGATGGAAATCTTTTGTGACATTATAACTCCTCCATACACCTGTCTTCTGAAGCCATGCGATTCATTGTGTGAGAAACAGACTGATTTTTTAGTTTATATTAACTTATATTATATTTATATTAAACTATCGTAGGATTTCAGAAGACCCTAATGCATGCATGGTCCATTATGAAGATACTTTCAAGGTGCTTTTAACTTGCAAAAGTAAAGTGCTTTTTTTTTTTTTTTACTTGTTTAAAAGGTTTGAAACCGCATGAGGGTGAGTAATTATTATGGGTGTAATAACGATGTTATGATTTGATACATATCACGATACTGAACAATACGATGCTATTGCAATACTCCAAGACATATGGTAAATGGTAATAAAAAAAATACTGAAAATTGATTAAAATGCTAAATATGATATTACACTGTGTGTGTAAATGAATAATCTTGGACTTGGTGCTGAAACCCAAATCACAGGACAATAGAGACACCAAAATGACAACATTCATGATTCTGAAGCTGAAAATACAGAATTATTTTAGACGAATCAGCTTTACTCTGTCACTAGTTGTATTTAAAATAATGTTGGTCACTTTATACTGCTAACAAGACATTTGGCATTATCAGCACACACTAATATCCCCACATTGCATTATTATTCATTATATTCAACATTATAGTAGTTTAATGTAGTACTGACACCCAAACTTGAATTTTTTCTCACACAGTGACTTTTATTTTGGCGGAACTAAACACAATACATATTGTTGCACTTTTGTATTGCGATATATTGTCACACCCCTAGTAAATAATGGCATAATTTCTATTATTGATTGAACTATCGGTTGTCCTTGACATTAGTAATTTATTGTAAACGCAGTAGAGCAAAATAACCCACCCTGCATGTGTGTGTGTGTGTGTGTGTGCGCTTGTTAGGGAGTTCCCTGTCAAGTTCAAACAAGCTGAATGTGTTTGATGTATTGTTCTCTCGTGCGGAGCAGTGTGTGTGTGTGTGTGTGTGTCGGACTCTTCGTGGATCTGAGTCGAGGCATTCTTACGGATGTTTGACTATATCATTAGGTTACAGCGTTGCGCAATAATATAAATAACATGTTCAGCAATCCTGCCTGACCGGATCACAGAGCTAACATGCACAGTTAGACCTGTTAGCTTTCCAGAAACTTCCTCTCAGCTGATGAATAGAGAAACTGTGACACACTTTACATATCTATAACCATCAGTGAGGTCATGACGCTACTGACTGCTTTGCATACATTACTAATCAGTCATTTCATTCTCAGCAATGATAATCACCAAACATGTCACAACGTCCATGTTTGACATACATCACACATTACTAGCAATCTGGAGAATATGTGATTACCTGTGCAAAACTGTGATAGACTGTTGTGTGTTGTTGATAAAAGCATTTTTAGATTTCTATTTCTATTATTAGAGTGTCTATATAGGTGGTTCCTTATTATTACTAAAATATTACACTTTGCCTCATCATTTGGAACACCTTGCAAACTTTCCTCATTCAGTTTTTGTCCCTATAGGGCACCCATAGCATTCATAATAACCTCAGGACATGTTTATGAGATGAATACAGCCTTTTATGTGCAATGTGTGTCTGCAGTATCAGTGAAGGAATGTTATGAGAAATATTATGAGATTTTGAATGGTCAGGGTGGAGGGAAACTATTGTTTGAGATGTTCCCTTTAGCAAACCTCCACACAGATTCAGAACAAGAGTAACAGTAGAGGAAGGGTTTGTCTGAACCTGCCTGAGGAATGCAAAGCAAAGCGCTATAAAGATGTCTATCTGGCTACTCCTATTACTCTCTCATTCAAGGGATGCTCACTTTGCTTTTACAATGAGTTTACATCTCTCTATTTTTTTGGCCATGGAATAACAAATGAAAAAGGTTATTGCGACTTTATCCCACAATACAGATTTTTTTTTGTCAGAATTGCTTTATAAACTCAGAACTGGAGATGGTCCTCACTGCAGAACATGAAATCCATGGGGAGGAGTCGGATCCAGATCCAACTCCTCCCACCTGTCATATACCTAAACCTACCCAGCTCCACCCCCTGATCCCTAACCCCACCCCTAAACCTACACAGCTCCACCCCCTGATCCCTAACCCCACCCCTAAACCTACCCAGTTCCACCCCCTGATCCCTAACCCACCCCTAAACCTACCCAGCTCCACCCCCTGATCCCTAACCCCACCCCTAAACCTACCCAGCTTCACCCCCTGATCCCTAACTCACCCCTAAACCTACCCAGCTCCACCCCCTGATCCCTAACCCCACCCCTAAACCTACCCAGCTCCACCCCCTGATCCCTAACCCCACCCCTAAACCTACCCAGCTCCACCCCCTGATCCCTAAAACCACCCCTAAACCTACCCAGCTCCACCCCCTGATCCCTAACCCACCCCTAAACCTACCCAGCTCCACCCCCTGATCCCTAAACCCAACCCTAAACCTACCCAGCTCCACCCCCTGATCCCTAACCCCACCCCTAAACCTACCCAGCTCCACCCCCTGATCCCTAAACCCAACCCTAAACCTACCCAGCTCCACCCCCTGATCCCTAACCCCATCCCTAAACCTACCTAGCTCCACCCCCTGATCCCTAACCCCACCCCTAAACCTACCCAGCTCCACCCCCTGATCCCTAACCCACCCCTAAACCTACCCAGCTCCACCTCCTGATCCCTAACCCCACCCCTAAACCTACCCAGCTCCACCCCCTGATCCCTAACCCCACCCCTAAACCTACCCAGCTCCACCCCCTGATCCCTAACCCCACCCCATTGTAAGTTACAATTACCTTTTTTCACTAAATGTCATGCATTTGCACACACACACACTTGAAGAAAAAAAAAATATATATATATATATATTTATATATACTATATATTAGACAGATATTTTTTTATTCAGGAAACATACAATATAAATTGTCAATATTTCATTACATTGAGGAATATTTTACCAGTCACTTTAATTTTTTTTTTTAATATTTTTTTTTATATTATTTATTGATTAATACTTGTATTTAAAATATCACTTTTATTTATTTAAAAAATATTATTGTAAGAATTAATATCATTAATGCTATTTTAAAATGCCAAGGAACTGGATTTTCATGTGTAACACAATATTGTGTGTGTGTGTGTTTCCAGAAAGAGCTTCATGACAAACAGACAGACATGATGAAGACGGTCGCAGGAGCGGAAAACGCCATTAACAAGTTACAGGTCAACACGGTGTCTATAGAGGTAAAATACCAATAACACATGCCAGTCATATTGCATTTACTGTACAAGACCACAATGCTAGACTAGCGTCAATAGATTACATATTAACATGTAACTGGTTCATTGTTCTCTGAATTCAGATTCAGTGGGATCTGAACGACCTTACTAACTTTATTTTGACATTTATCTGTGTTTTAGTAGTTTAGTTTCCTCATATGTTAATGAGTCCCACACCCGTTCTATTTTATTCTGATTGTGTTTCCTCATTTCTTTGTCCGATATTGTTAACGTTAAGTGTAGTTGCTATTGACTTCTCTGTACGTATTGCTTATTGAAAGTGTAGGATTTTGTGTGTTAGTACACCCTACAGAGGTTTATACATTTATATTTATGCATTTGGCAGACGCCTTTATCCAAAGCGACTTAAATTGCATTGCATTGCAAGCTACACATTTACATTCTCATCAGTTCTTGCTTTCCCTGGGAATCAAACTCTTGACCTTGTCATTGCAAGCACCAACACTCTACTATTTGAGCTACAGGAATACCAGTTAATACCAGTTAATACCAGTTAATACCGGTTAATACCAGTTTGCTTTATGTACTTAATACGTCTCATTCGAGAGATGATGTTATGCACAGTTATTTCCCTCCGGCTTTAGCTCTTTCTGGAACTGCTCAATGAGTGTGTGTGTGTCCGCAGGCGTCTGTGAAGGACGTGCGAGGAGTGATCGAGAAGCAGTTCGACACACTGATGCTGGCCGTCGAGCAGGTGAAGAAGGAGGTGAACGAGATCCTGGAGGCCGAGGAGCGGCAGGCGCTGAAACAGGCCGAGGGAATACGGGTTCATCTCGAGCAGCGCTGCACCGAACTGAAGAAGACTCAGGGTCGGGTCGACAAAATCACCAAAAACAAAAATGACATCGACTTCCTGCAGGTATGGAGTTAGTCAGGAGAGCATTTTAAGCATTTGTTGTGTGTTAAAGGAGTAGTTCACTTTTAAAAAAAAACTTTTGCTGATGATTTACTCACCCCCATGTCATCCAAGATGTCCATGTCATTCTTTCTTCAGTCGAAAAGAAATGAAAACATTCCAGGATTTTCTCCATATAATGGACTTCAATGGGGTCCAAACGGTTCAAGGTCTAAATGAGAGTTTCAGTGAAGCTTCAAAGGGCTTTAAACGACACCAGACGATGAATAAGGGTCTTATCTAGCGAAATGATCGCTCATTTCAAAAATAAATACAAAAGTAGGGCTTTGCAAAAATTAATTGCGATTAATCGCATCCAAAATAAAAGTCTGTGTTTACATAATATTTTTGTGTGTGCTGTATATAATTATTTTGTATATATAAATACATATGCATGCATGTATATATTTAAGAATTATTGGCGCTTAAATTCTGTATAGATATAAATACATATAAATCTATATTATATAAATATAAATATTTTATATATGAATAACACATTTTCTTAAATATATACATGCATGTGTGTGTGTGTATTTATATGTACAAAATTATTATATACAGCACACACAAATATATTATGTAAACACAGACTTTTATTTTGGATGCGATTAATCGCAATTAATTTTTGCACAGCCCTATACAAAAGTTTAAGTTTTATAAGCTCAAATGCTCGCCTTGCTCTGTTCTGTGATGCGCGTTCGTGACTCTCCTGTTCGAACTCGTTCATCAAAACGAACAAATCTTTTTTCGAGTCATTTCGTTCGTTGAGTCAACCAAATGACTCGAAAAAAGATTTGTTCGTTTTGATGAACGAGTTCGAACAGGAGAGTCACGAAAATGTATTTATTTTTGAAATGACCACTCGTTTCGCTAGATAAGACCCGTATTCATCGTTTTTTTAAAGTGAGCTAATCCTTTAAAGGTGATGTGTGAATGAGGCATTTTAAGGCATGATTTTTGCAGGTAAAAAACACTGAAATATATCAAAGACGAGTTTTAAGGGATCAAATTAGTGGCTGCAGGGGGACTTTACCCTTGTGCATCAATTCAAAAAAGTTGCACATGGGTCCATAAGGGACAAAAATGTCAAAAATAAATAAATAAAAATGTGAGGCTTGGGAGCACAGACTTAAGTCTCATTTTAAAGTGAAACCAAAAAAAGTTGTAGAGTTTATGAAAATGATTTATGAACAATAATTAATATAAAATGTATATTTATGAACTCTTAAACTGTTTAAGCCATAAATCTGAACAAGTTCGTATCTCAAAACATGAGCTTTCAGTGAGAGTTTGTCTGTGCGCAGAACCAGTTTCCCCATTATGCCATGCGTTGATGTGTAAATGAGGGTGAAGAGGTGCATTCAAGCTATTTTAAGGCATGATTATTTTTACAGGGAATTTTTTTTTGATCTAATATAAGTTATAAGGGATCAAATTATGACTTTAATACTTTAATATCAATATTGTGTATTTCCAGGAGTATTCCGAGTGGAAAAAGGAAGCGGTTGATGTGTCTTTACCCGGAGTTTACATCGGCCTCACGGATGAACTGCAGTCTTTCAGTCGTGTTATCATAGAGTCCACCAAAGAGATGTGCACCAACCTGATGACCTCTTACACCAACAAACTCAAAGAAACCTGCAAAAACGGTCAGGGTGCAAAACCAAATATCTTTGAGCATCTCAGAAACAACATTCGTGCTTCATAAAGCACTTTAAATGTTGAAATATCTTGTCAAATCACAGATAAAATGGGCATAAAGACGACGGTTAAAGCCATGATCGCCGCGAAACAGAACCTGTCAATTCCCAAACCGAAGACCAGAGACGACTTCCTCAGATGTGAGTGTCCAGCCGGGTTAAAATAATAATAATTAGGAGTGTATGAGGCAAAAGTCAAACTTAATAGTTAATAATGATAATTGATATAAATTATGGACAAACTTTCTATTTCAACTACCAATGCAACATATCTCATTTTCATTTAGTTTAATAACCAGAACTAAAACTGAAATAAAATAAAATACAATTATAGAGAGACATAATAATAAAATAACATGGGGTATAAAATATGTAACTTATTGATATCATAATTTTTCCTCAGTTGATTGGTTACATTGAGAATTGCTAAAAAATGGTATTCGTTTTCTCAAATGTAGTGTTTTGATATGCAAACAAGGCTTTGTTTCATTAAACACACACATTCTTGTATACATTTCCACTGAACACAAATTGGACATCTTTTTTGATAAACATACTTTAAACAGCCCAAAAAATAACCATGTTTTTAAGAATAAAAAGTTCAGGCAAATGATATATGAACAAACCGATCTGTAAAACCCTTCAGAATATATAGGAATAAAACGTGAAGGTTTGTGTAAGTGCTGCTGAAGTGGAGAGGAGAAAACAGCCTTTAAAAATTTACATTTAACTGGAATTTACATATGCAAATAGCCTACAATCTAAAAAATGCTGGGTTGTTTTAACCAATCTTTGGGTCAAATATGAACAAACTCAGCCATTGGGTTAAATGTTTATATTACATTTTTAACCCAACATCTGGGTTTGTCCATATTTTACCCAAATTTGGGTTAAAAAACCCAGCATTTTTAGAGTGTATAGAAGTGCAGTACAATAAACATGTGTATTCTGAACACATCATGGAAGCCAAATATCTCAAGACCTCAAAACAACTATAGTTTTGCCTGTCATGCTTTAAATAAAAATAAAAAATATAAAACTATGGGTAACACTTTACAATAAGGTTCATTAGTTACTACATTAGTTAGCATGAACTAATACTGAACTGCATTTATTCATCTTAGTTGATATTAATTTCTACTAATACTTTATTAAAATCTTGCTAAAATTATTTATGCATTAGTAATTACCAATGCACCGCTTTATTTTTATTAACTAACATGAACAAACGATGCTTTATTTAACGAAGATTACCAAATTCAGTAATAAATGTATTGTTCATGTTAGTTAATACTAGGGCTGTGAAACGATTAATCGCATCCAAAATAAAAGTTTGTGTTTACATAATACATGTGTGTGAACTGTGTATAATTATTTTGTATATATAAATACACACACACACATACATGTATATTTGCTTATACTGTATATAAATATAATTTGTACTATACATAAATATTTTATATATAAATAAATAAAAAATCTTAAATATGTACATGTATGTGTGTGTGTATTCATATATACAAAATAATTATACACCGTTCACACACATGTATTATGTAAACACAAACTTTATATATATATATATATATATATTTATTTATTTATTTTTTTACTCAAATAAATGCAGCCCTGGTGAGCAGGAGAGACTTTTATTTAAAATAATAACACATCCATGTATATATTTAAAACACACACATACATGTATATTTGCTTATACTGTATATAATTTGTACTATACATAAATATTTTATATATAAATAACAATTTTTTCTTAAATATGTACATGTATGTGTGTGTTTTTAAATATATACATGGATGTGTTATTATTTTAAATAAAAGTCTCTCCTGCTCACCAGGGCTGCATTTGAGTAAAAATATATATATATATATATGAAGAGTTCAGATGCAAAATCCTCTAAGTGCCATTTGAAATTTTCTTCTAAAATGATCATTTTTATCAAGCTTGTATATTTAAGTTCAGGAATTTCACTTAAATGGCAATGAAGATTACCTATTAATTGTCATTTAAGTGAAATTACTGAACTTAAATACACAAGCTTGATAAAAACGGTCATTTTAGAAGAAAATTTCAAATGGCACTTAGAGGCTTTTGCATCTGAACTCTTCATATATATATATATATTTATTTATATATATATATATATTATATACAAAATAATTATACACATTTCACACACATGTATTATGTAAACACAAACTTTTATTTTGGATGCGATTAATCGTTTTTACAGCCCTACACTAATGTTAATAAACCTTGTTGTAATGTGTTACCAAAATAATAATATTTTTAAGCAACTTACCAATAATAAATGCAATTCCCTGCTGGTTTTGCTTAATATGGTGAGTGTTTTCCTCCACAGACGCCACTCCTCTGCACCTGGACGCCGACTCGGCTCATCGGTTCCTGCGTCTGACAGAAGAGCGTAAGAAGGTCACGAACACGACCCCGTGGCAGCACAGCTACCCGGAGCTTCCCGAGCGCTTCGAGCACTTCAAGCAGGTGCTGACGGTCGAGAGCTTCTACATGGGACGCCACTATTTCGAGGTGGACATGAGAGGAGAGGGAACTCACGTCGGCCTGACTTACAAGAGCATCGACCGCAAGGGGTCGGAGAGCAACAGCTGCATCACGGGGAACAGCTTCTCCTGGTGTCTCCAGTGGAACGGCCGAGGATTCTCCGCGTGGACCAGCGACGTGGAGACGCCGCTCAGTAACCCCAAAGCCTCTCGCATCGGCGTGTACGTGGACTACTCCGCCGGCGAGCTCGCTTTCTACGACGTGGAGAACGGCATGACGCTCATACACAAGTACCAGGCTCAGTTCCTGGAGCCGCTTTACCCTGCGTTCTGGCTCCCCAAGAAGGAGAACGTGGTTCTCCTGGAGCCCGCAGGAGCATCGGCGTCTCTCACGGCCCCGTCTCCTGTCCCCTCTCCACAATGAACTCCTCGGATCCCATGCATTTCATTATTATAATGTGCCGTTTACTATGGAAGCTTGTTTCCGCCACTGAATAAAAAAATAAAGTAAATAATTGCGACTTTTTATCTCACAATTCTGACTTTTTTTCTCACAATTGCGAGATAAAAAGTCAGAATTGCGAGATATAAAGTCGCAATTGCGTGTTATAAAGTCAGAAATGCATGATATAAAGTCAGAATTGTGAGATTTAAACTATTCTGAGGGGGGAAAAAAGTTAGTCTTTTTTTCCCCTTAGAATTGGCCTAATAAGTCGCAATTGCGAGTTTATATCTCACAATTCTGAGAAAAGATGTCAGAATTTCGATATATAAACTCGCAATTATGTGATATAAAGTCAGAATTGCAAGATGTAAACTCGCAATTGTGAGAAAAAAAGTCACACTTCCGTCTTTTTTTCTCAGAATTGCGACTTTATATCACGCAATTCTGACTTTATATCTCGCAATTCTGACTTTATATCACGCAATTCTGACTTTATAACACACAATTCTGACTTTACAACTCGCAATTGCGACTTTATATCACGCAATTCTGAGAAATAAAGTCAGAATTGTGAGATAAAAAGTCACAATTATTTATTATATTTTTTTATTCAGTGGCGGAAACAAGCTTCCATAGTTTACACCTCATCTCAGGGGATCTCTGGATTAGATAACCTGAGACAGATGTGACCTGTGTAAACTGAGAGACCTACTGACTGATACTTAAAGGGTTAGTTCACCCAAAAATGAAAATTCTGTCAGTATTTACTCACCCTCATGTTGTTCCAACCCCGCAAGACCTTCGTTCATCTTCGCAACACAAATTAAGATATTTAAGATATTAAGATCGCTCCTGCATACTAGTCCATAGGCTTCTTGAGGGAATGACTCTTGCTGGCATCGAAAAGTCATTAAAGACATCGTTAAAATAGTCCAAGTGACTACAGTGGCTCAATTTTAACTTTATCAAACGACGAGAATACTTTTTGTGCGCAAAAACAAACAAAAATAACGACTTTATTTCAAATATTTACTTCTTCGCTATTGGCCTGTAGTCAGTTAACGTAGTGTGATTGCGTAAAGCTACGTCACACGTAGGCTCACTATTGGCCGACGCTGGTCATGTGTGTGTGATGCGTGTGAAGTATAATAACAGAAGCTTACGCTATTAAACTAGTAACCTGACTCGCGCAGAGGGAGAAATAAACCAATAGTTGAAATAAAGTCGTTATTTTTGTTGTTTTTGCACACAAAAAGTATTCTCGTCGTTTGATAAACTTAAAATTGAGCCACTGTAGTCACTTGGACTATTTTAACGATGTCTTTAATGACTTTTCGAGGCCAGCAAGAGTCATTCCCTCAAGAAGCCTATGGACTAGTATACAGGAGCGATCTTAATATCTTAAATATCTTAATTTGTGTTGCGAAGATGAACGAACGGCTTACGGGGTTGAAACAACATGAGGGTGAGTAAATATTGACCGAATTTTCATTTTTGGGTGAACTAACCCTTTAAGTTTTATGACTGCTACAGTATAAAAAAATACCTATAAATGCCTATTAAAATCCCTATTTATATGTTTTGTTTATAAATATATATATAATCCGCAAGTCTTAAGCTCATCAAACCTTACAAACAGTAAATTTTTAATTAATGGTTTTCTATTTTAATATACTTGTTTTCGCATCTCTGTAAGTCACACACACACCTACTCTGCATTTATCCTTATGCTTTATTCGTAATACAGTAAAGATCAAGAGTTTAGAAAAATTTTTGTATTATTTTAAATAAAAGCCTCTTCTGCTCACCAAGGCTGCATTTATTTGAGTAAAAAAAAAAACATTAATATTGTGAAACATTTTTATAATTTAAATCAGCTGTTTTTTATGTGAATAGCTAATAAAGTGTTTTTTATTCCTGTGGTCAAAGCTGAATTTTCAGCATCATTACTCCAGTCTTCAGTGTCACATGATCCTTCAGAAATATGCATAATAAATTAATATACCATTATTTCAAACTGTAATAATATTTCACACAGTATTACATATATTTATGTATTTTGGATCTAATAAAGACAGGCTTGATGAGCATTTTCATTAAAAAAAAAAATAGTGTCCAACCTTTTGACAGGTACGTAAAGTACGCACAGAGTCTATGTATTGTTGTATACTGTTATATGTGTTATGATTATGAAATATGTTAGACAAAGGTTTCTCGTTTACTGTAATGTTACACAAGTGACCAAACCCATTTGTCGTGGTGAATATGCGGCACATTTCACGGTGAGGTTGTGCTGGTCAACAGGACAGATCTGCGATCAGTGTTTCCGCGCTGCTGTTTCCCTCAGATGGTGTATTGTGCTCCTCTATGAGCTCGGACAGTTACTTTCACAAAAAAATCAACATCATCTGTCTCTCCAAATAAAAAATGACTTCAATGAAATGCTGGTATTTATTCATGTGTTTTGTTGCCATAACCGGTTCCACTGACTAGTGTCTACAGACTGAACGTTAACGCCTACAGGTATAATGCTTCAATGCGTTTCTAGATATTTGTATTTACTAATCCACACATCAGTGTTACTTTAAACAATAAATCACACTGAACTAATGAATTTGATTTGACACACAAACAAGGAATTTGCCTAACAGAAGATGCAGAGAGATAGGCTAATACAAATAGCTATATGAAAATTATCAATTATTAGAATTACATTAATTAGTAGGATAATCATTTAATTTATTTTATAATTTTATATATATACACACACTCAAATAAAACTATGTAATATAGAGAAATAGGCCTATGCAAAGAAATAGGATATGAAGAGGTAGCGTAATGTTAAAGTAATATAGCCTACAATTGGGGATTCGAAAATATATATTTTTTTATTTAAGTGTGTATGTGTTTGTGTGTAATTTAATCAAGAATTATAAGAAGTAGTGTGTTGTTAAATATAATTGTGAATTGGGTATTACACCACGTGATAAAAACAATATATATATATATTTACTAAATAATTACAAAATTCTATTCTGTATATTGTTTCTGGTTTTCTGTTTCTGGTGTAAACCCATAAAACAAGCACACAAAAATAAAAAGGTTTCTGTTCAGGCGCGATGTAGTCAGTCCTTACAGATCCGGAAGTGACGTGTCGTGGAACATCAGCAGCAACATTCCAAGACAGTCACAATAATGAGGCTGGTGAGTGGGAAAATGTCTTTTTTTTGGTATTAAAAATAGTTTTGAAACATTGAAAACATAGTTTATGTGTACAACATGCTTGTGTTCCTCCGATATGAGTTTTCAGATAAGAAAGGTTTCTCTAAACTACAAATATATCGGGTTTAGCTTAGCCAATCCTGCTCTGACTGTAAACAACTCACCGTTGTGGTTCATCGATGTTTAATTATTCTTCATGAAACTGACAGCTGTCATCTTCTCGTGTCGTTTCAGGACCCGAATGAGGATGATGATGTGTCTTTATTTGATGCTGAGGAAGATTCAGCCACAAGAAAGAACAAAATCAAGTGTGTCATCATAAATAAGCATCTTTTATAACGTTTTTTCCATGTATTTGACGACTCAGGTTGTTTTTATTGCATTTAATACTGTACGTAAAATTGTACATTTTGAGGACATTCACAGGAGCACGATGTCCTCGTTTAAAAAAACAAAAAGCTAATGTTTTTTTATTCTTTATACGATATTTTGATGTTGATGACAATGCTTTAATTCATTATTATCATTAATTTCATATATTCCTAATACAGTATTTGTTAAAACAAATGGTTTAGTTTATAGTAATTATAACAGTAGAGGCTAATGTCATGTCCTCATTTAGATAGACGGATTAATGTTAGTGTTTTTCCAGGCATCCGCTGGCCTCCTTCTTCCACCTGTTCTTCCGGGTCAGTGCGATTCTGGTCTACCTGTTGTGCGGTTTAGTTGGCGGAAGCTTCATCGCCTGTATGGTCACCATCATCCTCCTCCTGTCATGTGACTTCTGGACTGTGAAGGTCTGTGTTTCTGAATAAGTGATCAGGTGTTACTGTTAAATCATCTCAGTTACTGTAGTAAGGAGTGTTTGTTAAGTCAAGCATCACTATCAAACCTCTAACCCTATGTTAATCCTCAGTATGAAACCTGCATATGTGTTTATCTGACTCTAGAATATCACAGGGCGTCTGATGGTGGGTCTGCGCTGGTGGAATCAAGTGGATGACGATGGAAAAAGTCATTGGGTGTTTGAGTCCAGAAAGGTACGATTGCACACACAGTCCTTAGTAGGGTTGGGTGGCTTTTTCTTTGGTAACACTTTATTATTAGTTAACATTAGTTAGCACAAACTTGTACTGCACTTCTACAGCATTTATTAATCTTTGTTAATGTTAATTTCAACATTTACCAATACATTATTAAAATCTTGTTAACATTAGTAAATGCACTGTGAACAAACAATGAATGACTATATTTTTATTACCAAATGTATTGCTCATGGTTAGTTCATGTTTGTTAATACATGAACCTTATTGTAAAGCGTTACCTTTTTTATTGCTATACCATTTATACTGCAGTACATATAATTGCATGCACATGAACTGCTTTGTTAATTATCGAAAAACATAATTGATTAACACTACTGTTCAAACGTTGGTAAGATTGTTTCCTCTGCTCACCAACGCTGCATTAATTTGATCAAAAATACAGTAAAAAGTGAAATATTCGTATAATTCAAAATAGCTGTGAATATATAGTAAAGTGTCAGCATCATTACTCCAGTCTTCAGTGTCACATGATCCTTCAGAAATGACTCTAATTTGATGATTTGATGATACTTTTGTAACAGTATTAGTGTCACTTTTGCTGAATAAAGATCCTCATTTCTTTTGAAAACCAACAAACTTTTGAACATGGTCATGGTTGCCGTAAATCATCCGTGTGATTTGTTGTGTGTGTGTGTGTGTGTGTGTTTCCAGGCCAGTGGGACTCAGTCCTCCGCATCACGAACCTCAAACGCAGAGTCTCGTATCTTCTGGCTGGGTCTGATCATCTGCCCCGTCATCTGGGTCATTTTAGCTTTCTCTACGCTCATCTCCTTCAAGATAAAATGGCTGGTGAGTCGTTAGCTTCAGCTGTGTGTCTGTTTCCATGAGACATGTCTGAAGTTCCTCTGTGAGTAATGTGTTCTCCTCGGGCAGGCGGTGGTGATTATGGGGGTGGTGTTACAGGGAGCCAACCTCTATGGATATGTGCGCTGTAAAGTAGGAGCCAGAACAAACCTGAAGAGCATGGCAACCAATTACTTTGGACGGCAGTTTCTGAAGCAGGTGTGTTCGTTTATCTAGCCATTATCATTTATAATTGTCATCTTAAATGTTTAGGTCATCCAATCATCAATTACTCACTGTCATGTCATTCCAAAACCTGTACGACTTTCGTTCATCTTTAACACCAATGAAATTTTGTAATTAAATATGAGAGATTTCTGTCCCTCCTGTGCATGTCTATTCACCCAACACATATCCGTGCCGTGTGACACGCTAGAATCAACGTCATTGATTCATTAAATGTCTTTTATTGTGGTTTAAAGATGAGCAAAAGTCATGAGGGTTTGTACATGATTGGGTGATCTGTCAATTTAATAGTATCCTAATTTGATTTTACATTTTCTGATGATATAGTATGTGTTGTCTTTTTTTAATTCCAGGCTTTCACAAAACAGGAGGAATCTTAGGAAGGAACGTCTGACCTCCTGAATTCACACACCGATGAACTTTTAACATGTTCATTTTTAAAACTGATTCAAATGAAGTTGAGGGAAATGGTTACTTGGTTAGCGTATTTGTGTTATTAGTTTTCTACAATGTGTCAACTACAACCTGTTAAATAATGTGTTTCACTTTTAAAAATGCATTTAACTTAATAGTTTTTTCTTTTAAGTAGCTAACTAACTTAAATAATAAAGAGTTTGTGTTTTGTTTTAAAATATTGCATACATAAATATATAAATATAATAAAACATGCATTATCCTTGGCACAAAAAAAACAGATGTACATATTTATATACTGCTGTAAATTATTATTTTTTGGGGGGGATTGTATAATTTCTCTAGTTGATGATTGAGTGATTGTATCTCATGTTCAGTAAATTCAAGAAATAAATAAGTTTTGGGTAAAACTGGAGCCACCCTGAATCTCTGGCTTGAAGTCATCCATAATCACCACATCATCATCAAAAAAATGTAAGCTTCTTTAAAGCTGTTTTTTTATTATAAAAAAGGCATTTATTTTGATCTGAAGCACCACTGCAGTTAAGGTATATATTTTTATCAGTTCATGTGTTTCCTTGGATTGATATTTATGATTTTGGTGTCTTTGTAATATTTCATTACTCTCTCATAAATGTATAAATTATTAACATCTGCAATTTTAAAGGCATAGGCCTTTTAATGCTTTTTTTCTTTCTAATGTTTAGTTAAAAAAAATATTGTGCCTTTGCACAAATATTTTATGCCTAAGTGAGTGTAGATTTTATTTTTTATTAATTTTTTTAATACATGTGAAAATCTCCGATATTGCATTTCATAAAGGAATCCTCACAAAACTCTTTGGGAGGTGTATTTTTATAATTAACACTTCTGTCGTCTTTTTTTTATTTATTTTATTATCTTTATTCATTCGTTAATCGTTAATCGAGTGCTGCTATTTGGACTGGAATTCCACATAGACGGGAATTGCATGACGGTTTGGGGACTTTTATTTTGTATATGTTGTGATTCACTTCCGTTAGTGTTGGTTTCCGCTGTCTTCACGTTAATGTTGCACTATTATTCTTGATTTTTCCTTGATCTTGACGGATTCAGCTGTTATTTTGATCACACTTCTGACAGTCAGGATGATCCCGACCGAAGACGCGTCCGCTCGGAAGCGAGTGATCGAGGACAAACTCAAACAGGTCCGTAAAAACTGGAAGAATGAAGAATAACATGAGAATCCCGTGATCAGGGAGCGGATATTAGAAATGTCATTTGCGATCAACTAGAATGAAAATTTGCACGACTGTCATGAATATAACGTCACAAACCGTTTTAGAAGCGTAACTTAATGGTAGACTAAATGGTAATGCCATGTTGATGGGTGTATTCACTTGACAGTTCAGTATATTTACAGTAAGCTTGACAGTCTGTGTGTTTTACTTATAATCTCAGGAACAAGAAACTCTGTCTTTTATTCGTGAAAGCCTGGAGAAGAGTGATCAGCTCACTAAAGGAATGGTGAGAGATGATCAGTTCATATATTGCTGAATGTGTGTGTGTGTGTGTGTGTGTTTACATTTCTATTCTGTTGTGGACTCGTGTCACTGTGTGCCCTTCATTGAGGTACAAGCTGATAAATCATACATAATGATTTTTCTATGTAGAGTCCCCACAAAGATAGCCAACCAGACTGTGTGTGTGTGTGTGTGTGTGTGTGTGTGTGTGTGTGTGTGTGTGTGTGTGTGTGTGTGTGTGTCAAGCCATCCTTTTTTAAGGTGATCAAACTGGGTTAAGGATACTTACTGTACACATTGTAGTTAATTTTAATGACTGAAACCATGAATGTGTTTCGCTTGTTCGAGGTGTCCATCCTGTCGTCGTTCGAGAGCCGTCTGATGCAGCTGGAGAACTCCATAATCCCGGTCCACAAGCAGACGGAGAATCTGCAGCGACTGCAGGAGAACGTGGACAAAACTCTGTCCTGCATGGATCACGTCATCAGCTACTATCATGTGGCCAAAGACACCGACAAGATCATCCGGGAAGGGTGAGTGTGACTGAGACATGCGTCCTCTGGCTAGTAGACAATATATTGGTTTGGCTTTTATATATTGATAATATAGAATACATATACTGTATTATATAATACAACTTAATTTCACATATATATATATATGAAGAGTTCAGATGCAAAAGCCTCTAAATCCCATTTGAAATTTTCTTCTTTAATGATGATTTTTATCAAGCTTGTATATTTAAGTTCAGTAATTTCACTTAAATGGCAATGATAATTACCTATTAATTGTTATTTAAGTGAAATTACTGAACTTAAATATACAAGTTTGATAAAAATCATTATTAAAGAAGAAAATTTCAAATGGCATTTAGAGGCTTTTGCATCTGAACTCTTCATATATATATACACAGTAGTCAACATTTAAAGTGGATCAAAATCTTTTACCAAAGTTATACATGAATTTTGAACAATACCAGGGTTCCCGCGGATCCTTAAAAAGCCTTAAATTAGATTTTTTAAATATAAGGCCATAAAAAGTCTTATTTTTACTTATGAAAGGTCTTAAATTTTAAATGACACTTCGATTTAGTCCTATTTCAATGTTTTCCTAATTAAAAATATCTTATTTGCGTACGTATTGTTTTTATTGGCCTATTCTATCTTTGTGGATTTGCTTGTTCAAATTTGCTTGTTACCAACAAAACGTTGAAAACATCGAGATATATATTTTTGTCAATATTGCACACCCCTAATGTACGGTATTAATTTTGATTTCTTCAGGTCTTAAAAAGGTCTTAAAAAGCCTTAAATTTTACTTTAAAAAGTGTGCAGGAACCCTGAATACCCGTTCTTGTCTTAGGACAACTTTGAGGAACTTTTTTGATCCACTTCAAATGTTGTGTAACATTAATATTATGTCCTATAAAATGTCCTTCTTTATTCCTTCATTAATATTATGTCCTATAAAATGTCCTATAAAATGTCCTTCCCATGTCCTTCTTTATTCAAAATCATACTTTATTTAAATTCTGAATGTGCGTTTTAACAGTCCTCAAAAAATGTTGCGGAGCATGAGAACCGCAGTCATGGACAAGTCATTTTCCTGCTTTTTTACATTTTTATTATACATGAATATTCAGTAAATTATTTTTTCTGCCATCTGAAATAATCTAATAGAACATCCATTTATTGTTTTTCTAATTTCTTTTTATTTTAATTTGTTTAAACTGCAACATAACATACATTTAGTTGAGTTGGACGCATTACGGTAATGAGAATTTTCGCAGAAAATACAGTAAAATAGAAAATAAAATTATTCCCATGTTGAAATTACACATTGTGCAAGGTAGAGATCAGTATTGTCTTTATTGTGATGCTTTTTTATATCACTAAATACCATGTTTAATATTTAAAATCATTAGTGCCGTGGTGTTTTAATGGTTTCGTGAGAATCATATTATTTAATATTATGTAAACACAAACTTTTATTTTGGATGCCATTAATTGTTGCCCAGCACTAATATATATATGTATATATATATGAAGAGTTCAGATGCAAAAGCCTCTAAATGCCATTTGAAATTTTCTTCTTTAATGATGATTTTTATCAAACTTGTATATTTAAGTTCAGTAATTTCACTTAAATAACAATTAATAGGTAATTATCATTGCCATTTAAGTGAAATTACTGAACTTAAATATACAAGCTTTATAAAAATGATCATTCTAGAAGAAAATTTCAAATGGCACTTAGAGGCTTTTGCATCTGAACTCTTCATATATATATATATATATATATATATATATATATATATATATATATATAATATGTACTCATTTCGGTCAATCGCCGCTCTTGCAGCCCAGCTGGTCGTCTGGACGAGTATCTGGCCTGCATTGCAAAGATCCAGAAAGCCGTGGAGTATTTCCAGGACAACAATCCCGACAGTCCTGAGCTCAACACAGTGGTACGTCCCCCATCCTCACAAACATCTCACTCTCCTTCAGTTTGATTAAAGCGTCACCGAGGCTGTGTGGTGTTGCAGAAAGCTCGTTTCGAGAAGGGAAAGGAGCTGCTGGAGGCGGAGTTTCGCAGCCTGTTGACGCGCTATAGTAAACCAGTGCCGCCCGTCCTCATCCTGGACGCCATCGGAGGAGACGAGGACATGGAGGTGCAGGAGGACGTGACGCTGGAGCATCTTCCCGAAGCCGTTCTGCAGGACATCATCTGCATCTCGGCCTGGCTGGTGGAGTACGGCCGCAACCAAGGTGAACACACACACGAACGCTTTCATCTTAGGCCTGGCTGGGACACACAGTCACTACACTGTTGAAAAAATATATATGTTCGTGATTTGTAATCACAACATTATTTCTTTTGTCAAATCAACTTAAATAATTTATGTGGTTCAGATAACATAATATATTGAGTTTCTGATTAATAAATCAATGTCCTTCATTGTATTAACTCACTTTTTCCATTTTAATGAACTTAAAATAAATTTTAAGGCAGCCAGGTTACTTAATGTTTTTAAGTTAAACCAACAATGTTTTTTTACAGTACACTCTCAGAAAAAAAGGTACAAAAGCTGTCACTGGGGCTGTACCTTTTCAAAAGGTACACTTTTGTACCCAAAGGCTGCATATTGGTACCTTAGTGGTACATATTAGCACCTGAAATGTATATATTAGCACCTGAAATGTACATATTAACACCTAAAATTTACATATTAGCTCCTGAAATGTACATATTACCACCTACAATGTACATATTACCTCCTAAAATGGACATATTATCTCATGAAATGGACATATTAGCACCTAAAATGAACATATTAGCACCTAAAATGTACTTATTAGCACCTAAAATGCACATATTAACACCTAAAATGCACTTATTAGCACCTAAAATGGACAAAAGTTTACCTTTTGAAAAGGTACAGCCCCAGTGACCGCTTTTGTACCTTTTTTTCTGAGAGTGTATATTGTTTTTTTCTGCTCATTCTAAAAAACAAAATCTGTGAACACACTGTTGTCTCACGCAGTGGTGTAACTTGTGTGTTGAAGTGGGTGTGGGGGGTCTAATACAATGCTAAATCAGATATATGTACAATTTATGTGTACAATAAAATTACGATGTCAATTTCAATAGTGCATTAGGTTTAATATGTCGTTTAATGAGATCCACTAATAAATTGTTAGTGCCGAGTATTTTTATATAACTAACAATTTATAACTAACAATTTATTTATTTTGCTTTATTGAACAATATAAACAAATATTGTAGTGTCCTGGTACAAAATATGAAATGTCTTAATCAGACAACAGTCAAGCGTCATAGCATAAGAAATAAAATATAAATAAACAAAGAGGTAAAATAAAAAAAATACATTCAAGAAATAAAAATAACG